TACATCCTGGAGCCTACCCATCAACCTTTTACCCACCAATACATAATCTAATAAACTCTTTCATTACGTGCTACATCAAAACCTTGTATATTTATTTACCCTTTTTTTCATAAAATATGTATTACTTATTACCAAATTTCTTTCTACACATAGCTCAATTAAAGGCTCCCCATTTACATTTACCCCTGGGCCCCCCAAATTTACCTACTACTCCCTCCATAACATTTTTTACCCACTTTAGCATTAAAATCCCCAACCCCCATTACTCTCACACTTGATTCAAAACTCCCCACGCATTCACTCAACATTTCCCAAAATCTCTCTCTCTCCTCTACACTTCTCTCTTCTCCAGGTGCAAACACGCTTTTTATAACCCACTTTTCACATCCAAAACTTTATTTTACTCCACATAATCCTTGAATTAATACATTTATAGTCCTCTTTTCCTGCCATAGCTTATCCTTCAACATTATTGCTACTCCTTCTTTAGCTCTAACTCTATTTGAAACCCCTGACCTAATCCCCTTTATTCCTCTCCACTGAAACTCTCCCACCCCCTTACTTTGTTCACTTAAAGCCAGGACATCCAGCTTCTTTTCATTCATAACATCCCAATCATCTCTTTCTTATCATCTGCACAACAAACCACGCACATTCAGACTTCCCACTTTGACAATTTTCTTCTTATTCTTTTTTAGTAATCTTTACAGGAAAAAAGGGGGGACTAGCCCATTGTTCCGGGATTTTAGTTGACTTTTACAACACGCATGGTTACGGAGGAAAGATTCTTATTCCACTTCCCATGGATATAAAAGGAAAATTAATAAGACCAAGAACTATTTAAAATAAAAACAAAGAAAAACTCAGATGAGTGTGTATAAATAAATGTGTACATGTATGGGGTAGTGTGACCTAAGTGTAAGTAGAAGTAGCAAGACATGCCTGTAATCTTGCATATTTATGAGACAGCAAAAGAAAATCAGCAAATCCTACCATCATGTAAAACAATCACAGGCTTCGTTTTACACTCACTTGGCAGGACGGTAGTACCTCCCTGGGTGGTTGCTGTCTACCAACCTACTACCTATAATATATATATATATATATATATATATATATTATTTTTTTTTTTTTTTATTATCACACAGGCCGATTCCCACCAAGGCAGGGTGGCCCGAAAAAGAAAAACTTTCACCATCATTCACTCCATCACTGTCTTGCCAGAAGGGTGCTTTTACACTACAGTTTTTAAACTGCAACATTAACACCCCTCCTTCAGAGTGCAGGCACTGTACTTCCCATCTCCAGAACTCAAGTCCGGCCTGCCGGTTTCCCTGAATCCCTTCATAAATGTTACTATGCTCACACTCCAACAGCACGTCAAGTATTAAAAACCATTTGTCTCCATTCACTCCTATCAAACACGCTCACGCATGCCTGCTGGAAGTCCAAGCCCCTCGCACACAAAACCTCCTTTACCCCCTCCCTCAACCCTTCCTAGGCCGACCATACCCCGCCTTCCTTCCACTACAGACTGATACACTCTTGAAGTCATTCTGTTTCGCTCCATTCTCTCTACATGTCCGAACCACCTCAACAACCCTTCCTCAGCCCTCTGGACAACAGTTTTGGTAATCCCGCACCTCCTCCTAACTTCCAAACTACTAATTCTCTGCATATATTCACACCACACATTGCCCTCAGACATGACATCTCCACTGCCTCCAGCCTTCTCCTCGCTGCAACATTCATCACCCACGCTTCACACCATATAAGAGCGTTGGTAAAACTATACTCTCATACATTCCCCTCTTTGCCTCCAAGGACAAAGTTCTTTGTCTCCACAGACTCCTAAGTGCACCACTCACTCTTTTTCCCATCATCAATTCTATGATTCACCTCATCTTTCATAGACCATCCGCTGACACGTCCACTCCCAAATATCTGATACGTTCACCTCCTCCATACTCTCTCCCTCCAATCTGATATTCAATCTTTCATCACCTAATCTTTTTGTTATCCTCATAACCTTACTCTTTCCTGTATTCACCTTTAATTTTCTTCTTTTGCACACCCTACCAAATTCATCCACCAATCTCTGCAACTTCTCTTCAGAATCTCCCAAGAGCACAGTGTCATCAGCAAAGAGCAGCTGTGACAACTCCCACTTTGTGTGTGATTCTTTATCTTTAACTCCACGCCTCTTGCCAAGACCCTCGCATTTACTTCTCTTACAACCCCATCTATAAATATATTAAACAACCACGGTGACATCACACATCCTTGTCTAAGGCCTACTTTTACTGGGAAAAATTTCCCTCTTTCCTACATACTCTAACTTGAGCCTCACTATCCTCGTAAAAAACTCTTCACTGCTTTCAGTAACCTACCTCCTACACCATACACTTGCAACATCTGCCACATTGCCCCCCTATCCACCCTGTCATACGCCTTTTCCAAATCCATAAATGCCACAAAGACCTCTTTAGCCTTATCTAAATACTGTTCACTTATATGTTTCACTGTAAACACCTGGTCCACACACCCCCTACCTTTCCTAAAGCCTCCTTGTTCATCTGCTATCCTATTCTCCGTCTTACTCTTAATTCTTTCAATTATAACTCTACCATACACTTTACCAGGTACACTCAACAGACTTATCCCCCTATAATTTTTTGCACTCTCTTTTATCCCCTTTGCCTTTATACAAAGGAACTATGCATGCTCTCTGCCAATCCCTAGGTACCTTACCCTCTTCCATACATTTATTAAATAATTGCACCAACCACTCCAAAACTATATCCCCACCTGCTTTTAACATTTCTATCTTTATCCCATCAATCCCGGCTGCCTTACCCCTTTCATTTTACCTACTGCCTCACGAACTTCCCCCACACTCACAACTGGCTCTTCCTCACTCCTACAAGATGTTATTCCTCCTTGCCCTATACACGAAATCACAGCTTCCCTATCTTCATCAACATTTAACAATTCCTCAAAATATTCCTTCCATCTTCCCAATACTCTAACTCTCCATTTAATAAACTCTCCTCTCCTATTTTTAACTGACAAATCAATTTGTTCTCTAGGCTTTCTTAACTTGTTAATCTCACTCCAAAACTTTTTCTTATTTTCAACAAAATTTGTTGATAACATCTCACCCACTCTCTCATTTGCTCTCTTTTTACATTGCTTCACCACTCTCTTAACCTCTCTCTTTTTCTCCATATACTCTTCCCTCCTTGCATCACTTCTACTTTGTAAAAACTTCTCATATGCTAACTTTTTCTCCCTTACTACTCTCTTTACATCATCATTCCACCAATCGCTCCTCTTCCCTCCTGCACCCACTTTCCTGTAACCACAAACTTCTGCTGAACACTCTAACACTACATTTTTAAACCTACCCCATACCTCTTCGACCCCATTGCCTATGCTCTCATTAGCCCATCTATCCTCCAATAGCTGTTTATATCTTACCCTAACTGCCTCCTCTTTTAGTTTATAAACCTTCACCTCTCTCTTCCCTGATGCTTCTATTCTCCTTGTATCCCATCTACCTTTTACTCTCAGTGTAGCTACAACTAGAAAGTGATCTGATATATCTGTGGCCCCTCTATAACATGTACATCCTGAAGTCTACTCAACAGTCTTTTATCTACCAATACATAATCCAACAAACTACTGTCATTTCGCCCTACATCATATCGTGTATACTTATTTTCCTCTTTTTCTTAAAATATGTATTACCTATAACTAAACCCCTTTCTATACAAAGTTCAATCAAAGGGCTCCCATTATCATTTACACCTGGCACCCCAAACGTACCTACCAACCCTCTCTAAAAGTTTCTCCTACTTTAGCATTCAAGTCCCCTACCACAATTACTCTCTCACTTGGTTCAAGGCTCCTATACATTCACTTAACATCTCCCAAAATCTCTCTCTCTCCTCTGCATCCTCTCTTCTCCAGGTGCATACACGCTTATTATGACCCACTTCTCGCATCCAACCTTTACTTTAATCCACATAATTCTTGAATTTACACATTCATATTCTCTTTCTCCTTCCATAACTGATCATTTAACATTACTGCTACCCCTTCCTTTGCTCTAACTCTCTCAGATACTCCAGATTTAATCCCATTTATTTCCCCCCACTGAAACTCTCCTACCCCCTCAGCTTTGTTTCGCTTAGGGCCAGGACATCCAACTTCTTTTCATTCATAACATCAGCATATATATATATATATATATATATATATATATATATAAATTTTTTTTTTTTTTTTCTCTCGCCCAATTTTTTAAGATTCTTAGGGTTAATAACTAGCTTGTGATTTTGGTATGACTTCATAATAGTAATGTTAAGTGATTTAATCCTTTTATTTTTGAGAGCCTTTGCGAATAATTTTGGTCCACTGAAACCCTTCCAGAGGCTGAAGTAACAGTACTTGGTAAATCTCAGTTCCTTTATTCATACTAATAGGTTTTGTGAAAACTTTCTACTGAAAATAATAGTGCTGTAACTTCGTCTATACTTTTGGGATGGTGTATCTCTTGACCCTAAATCCATAATGTTATACTGAAAGTTAGTTACTAATTGTTGCTTTGAAATTTGACTTCAGTTCCCAGGTTAGTCTTTTTATTATTATTATTGCATAGTTAATGGAACTGTCTATGGAGCTTTTGTGCCCCCTTGCATTTGTCAGGTCTTTCAGTCATGACTTAACTTAGTGATCAATTCTTCAAAATTTTAAACTAAAAGGTCTGAATAGCCCTTTCCCATCTCCCTTTATTCAATACCATTTCTGTAAATGGTAGAATAGCTTGTTCATCTTAATGCTCTTGGCTGGATCATGGTTTTAATCACCAAGACATAATGTATCAAATACAGGGTCTTTCATTTTTTTACTTCAGCAAAGTAAAAAATTTGCATTAAAACAAATACCTTTGCAGGGCAAGCTTTGGACTGAAATTAAATCATAAATATTTATTACAGGGAGCTTTAATGGCTCGTGCAATAGGAGGCAGAGTACCAAGTTCAGACCCTGTTGCATCACAAGCAGGATTTGATGCTCCAAGCTCAAGTACTTTCTCAAATGCAGAGGCAAAATCAATTACACATCTTGTCAGAAAGAAGGTACATCTAAAGCTAAAAACTTGTAGTTCAAAATGAAATCCTAGGTGTGAGCACCTTTGTAAAGGTTTGAATCTTAATGTGTTGAGGTATTGGGTTAAATTGCCAGAGAATGGTGAGGGGGGGGGGGCAGTGTACAATGAATGTAGTTTTAGCAGTGCACAGCAGTATGGATGTGAAGAATGGTCTTGGAATCATACAGCTAAGTAGATTGATGTAAATATAGTCCCAGCTCGGTATTTTGTGATTTACTTTATTCCTTAGTTTGCAAATCTGGTGGGTTGGAAATAATTGGTATTGATGGTCTGGAACAATAGCTTAAAGGTACACAAGCTTTAGATGAAAGGTGTAGGAATGTCTGAAGTGTTGGAAGGAGGGTTTTGAGGAATGGTATTAGTATGGCTAAACACAAATTAAACGAAAACTAGTTGACCTGATAACAGTGCATGCACTTTGAAAAGTGGGCTGGGGTCGAGTAATCAGTGGATTGCAATTTATCATCTTTAGGAAAATACTGTCATCCAGCCTTGTTGAAGGGCAGGTTAAAAATTGATAAGTTGTTAAAGCTTCAGGTTTGATGCATTATTGCTTTACAATACTTGTGAAAAACTGCCGAGTGCCAAAATTAAATAGCAAGATAAATTTGCAGTTTTGTGGCACTTCTTAAAATACTGAACCTGAATTTCTATAAATCTGGGATAGTACATTGTATCCATTAATATTGGTATACCATGCCAACAAGGTAGTAATGTATATGCAACAATTAAGGTACCAAGTGTTGCATGTGTAGTGCCTTTTGCTATCTAGGAAAGTCGTTAATATAAAAAAAAAAAAAAGTACTTAGTGGATCAGTGTAGGAAAGCAGTGAATTTTTAGACACATTTCCTGATGTGTACACTGCAGCCTAGAGGCTTTTGGTACAATATACTGGTACTAGTATATATAGATTTGTAATTTAGGTTAAGTGCTAGTTTCTTCCATGGAAAGACCTGCCAATGTTGAAAGCTTAAGCTCCTTTCTTTTCATCCCCAAGCAGAGGAAACCAGAAGAGGATGCTGCAGTAGCAGATATAAAGAAGGCCAAAGTTGAGAATGGTGAAAGCACAACCAGTGAAGTGACTAGTACAAATGGTCAATCAGAAAGTATGGAAACTGATAATAAGGCAAGTATACTAATTGGTATGTGTAAAAAGTTATTTGGGTTACTTGAGATTTGTGTATTAGTGCTAATAGAAACTACATTTTCTAGTAGATGCCATTATGGGGCTCAATCCAAGGAATTAAATTTTCTTAAATTGACCCTGATTACATCCCATATCCTCAGGTGCTGCATGACCTTTACGGGTAGTCCTTAATTTGGTATAAACCTTGGTAATAAATACTGACAAGTTAGTTTAGAAAAATATACAAACACTAGGACATATTTATTAGAAAAAGTTTGTCCTGTGATTCTGATAGTGATTAAGATCCTAGGACCGAAACTTTTTCTAGTAAGTTTTTCGTAGTGTTCGCTTAAGTGTTTTTCTAAACCATTGCTTACTCTTCATGAATGAAATGTGATTAAGGGGTAAGGCACCCTAGCCTGAGACTTAAGCTTTTTGATTCTTTACTTCCTGATCAAAGCTGAGAACATTTGGCAAATGAAATTGAGGTAGGCAAGCAGTGGGAAGGAAGGGGTAAATAACAAATTGAGCCTAAAAATACACAGGCTGTAATAATGCTGTGGGAGTCTCAAAATAGATTTTAGCATTAAAATAGTTTATTATTGACTATTCTAAATGCTTTGCATTTTCCCAGGTGCTGTGACCCCTATAGTTTGTGCTTCCCCTTACTGATAATGTGATCTTGGTTAAATGAACATCCAGATAGTGGTATTGTGTAAAGTAATTTTCATTAGGGTTGTGCCAAAATGTTTGTGGGTATCTTCTATTTATGGTAGTAAAATTGTTGACCTAAAATAGATCAGTAAGTAAATATTCTTAATTTTCTTCAGACCTCTTCAAAAGGTAAAGATATGGAAGAGCTAAAGAAACAGGCTGCAGAAGAGATGAAGAAGGCAACAGAAGAAATAACAAAGGAAAAACCACAAGCTACAACCTAAGTTCATCAATATTTAACCCAACCACTGCCACTTTAATCTTTTTGTAGCTTTTACCATAAGGTGTAAACTTTTAGTACTAGTGAATGTGTTTTTAGGATTTACATATTTATTAAAAATACTAAAGAATTTTTGTTTTACCTTGCCTTCCTAAATTTTTTTATTGGGGTCCATAAGGGAGATTCTTTAGTTGGTAAGGATTTCTTGAACCAAGAAATTATACCTATGCTCTCCTTGGATTCAACCTGAATACCTTCCATTGCCCCAGGCACTGTATGACCCCCGTGGGTTTAGCATTCCCTAAATGTAAATTGTTGGTTACTTTTTTTTTTTTTTTTTTCCCATCAGTTTTGTGCACTCTAAATACATTATCAAATAGAAAAGATTAAAATTTGGGATAAGCTTCTTTGAACTACAAAATACGTTTTAAAAGGCTCAAACCAGATTATGTACACAATTAATTTGAGAGGCGGGGGAGTAAGATATTGCCTGAATGGAAAATTGCAGACTGTAATCTGTACTTAAAGGATCCCTCAGGAGGTTCCTTGATGTTGAAGAGGGCTTTGTATAATAGACCTGTGCTCAAATTCCTCGAGACCCTTGTGGGTGTAACACTTGGTTGTGATTATAATGATACAATTCCTTGAACAGAGCCTGAATGCCTTCCCTATCCCTCTTCCCAGTGCTCTGTGGGTTTACTACAGCACTAAGACCCTTGTGGATTTAGAGCTTAGTTATAATTATAATGTGGGTTAACTGTTCCATGAGCATAATGCACCTGAAGGCCCTAGCAATTTTTTTTAACCCCATGAAGGAAGGTGCCTTAATCCAAGAAATTGAGGTATATTCACCCCTTCCTTACTTGGATTGAACCAGATTGCCTACCATTCCCAAGTGTATGACCCTAGTGGGTTTATTGCTTCCCCCTAAAATCTATACAGTGGACCCCCGCATAACGATTACCTCCGAATGCGACCAATTGTGTAAGTGCGTTTGTACGTGTATGTTTGGGGGTCTGAAATGGACTAATCTACTTCACAATATTTCTTATGGGAACAAATTCGGTCAGTATTGGCACCTGAACATACTTCTGGAGTGAAAAAATATCGTTAACCGGGGGTCCACTGTACTTAAAGATTCTAGCATCGGAGAGGAGGTTTGTGGCGTCCTTCGCTCTAGTAATGAAGGACCAGGATCGTTCCCTAGCTTAAGTGAAACAAAGTTCCCATGCACTTGCTGCCCCTATTCGCATTGCAATAAATACGTACCCAGTGTTACCGTTATGTGTCACATCACGGTGAAGCACATTAAACAACCTGAATGGGGGGGAAAAAGTCTGACTTGTGGAGTTTTTTGGAGAATCTTTCCCAAAAGTCTGGTTCCTTGATGCTGGTGAGGGGCTCTTGATCTAGGGAATTGGATCTGCTCCAGTTCCCTGAATTGAGCCTGAATACCTTCCACCCCCTCCCTTTCCTCTGTGCTGTATAATCCTACGGGTTTAGCACCCCCCCATGATTATACATAATTATGAATCTAATTCCATTTCCCAAAGTGATGTATGACCTGTAAGGGTTAAGTGCTCCCTATCAGTGGTTATCCTGTTTGGTTAACCCAGCAGGTAAAGCCTGAACAAAATTTAAGGAGTTCTTGATCCAACAAACCGAACTTTACCTCCCTTTCATGAATCAAGCCTGACTGCATACCATTGCAGTGCTGTATGACCCTAGTGGGTTTAGTGCTTGGGTTTGATCATGATTGTCTACCATTGTCCCAGGTGCTGTGACCCCCTGTGAGATTAATGCCCCCACCCCAGTGGGGTACCTTTAAGAGGTTGCCTGAAATTGGTCTAAATTTCTTCTTAAATTTATTTTGTATAACTAGAGAACCCCTTGTTTAATTCCCTTCAAATTTTCAATTTTGTGTATGGTAATGAGAATTGGTATGTTTCTGTGCCCTATGACCAAAGTTGAACCAATCCCTAGCATCCTGGTGGGAGACTACTGTCTCCTGTCTTCACATCGGCCACATACATACGGGTATCTCATGGAGAGGCGCCCTGTTCCACTCTGAGAATTGTCAGGTTTCAGTTTGTTGGACTGCCCACCATAACGAGCACACGGAATTTACCTCCAACATCGTTGCTGCTCTACTGCCCTTAGTTTACCATCCCTTCTTGCTGATGGACCCTCCTTTACCCCAGATTCTCTCATTGACTTGACAGCAACTGATTTACGACAACGACGACTCTAGTACTCCTCACAGCCCTTTTGTACCTCAATCTCTTGCTAACCTCCCCTGCACTATCCACTGCCCTGCTGCACTCCATGACCTAATAATCATCCCTCTCCCTCTTGCTACCCAATACCCCTGCATCCTTCCCTGCCTGGCAGCGCTGTATGACCCTTGTAGGTTTATCGCTTCTTTTTTTATTATAATCTAGCATCCTGTCCTGGAATGGTTTGATTTCCAAAAGCCTCTGTGGTGTAGGTTCAAGGAGTCACACAGTGCTGCTTGACCCTTGTCATTTTAGTGCTTTATTTGATTATAATCAAATGGTCACAAAAGGTGCCTCCCAATCTGATGAAGCAAAATTCAAATGTATAGGTGCAGTATTGTATAAGTGAAATTTTATTCACATAAACCATTTTTAAAAAATGTTTACTAATGAAAGAAAGAGCTATATGGTCCTTGTGGGTTTAGCACTTGGTTTTAATTAATTCTGAAAGGTTTCAGTATCTAAAGGTTGATGCATCTTAGGGTCAGGATAGTAACTATTAATTATATTAGTATGTTGAACATCTTTATTATGCATCTCATACCCATCCTATGAGTGGATTTTGACACTTAATCCTGAACTGATATAGTATTATTTTACCTTATTGCATTATTTTGCCTTGATGCTAGTGAGGCCTCTTGATCCATTGAACGAGTTACCATCCCCTTGGGTTGAATTTGAAAGCCTTCCATTCCACAGGTGCTATATAACCCCTATATATAGGTTTACACTTTCTTCTGATTAAAATATAACAACTGTGAACAGTTTTCTGTGTGAGGGGCTTGTATATCCAACAGACATGTTTAGAGACAAATAGTTTTTGGGACAATACGAGCTGTTGGAGTGTGAGCAAGGCAACATTTTGTGAAGAAATGCGGGAAAACCGGTTAGCTGAACTTTGGTCCTGAGGGTGAGTACACTGAAGGAGGGTTGAGAATATTTGCAGTTGTGGGGGATGGGGATCTGAGCTATAGTACCATCATTCACTATCACTCTGGTGAAAGTGTTTCTTCTTTTGGGTCACCCTACCTCTGTGGGAGAAGGCCGGTGTGCTAAAAACAAAATTGTGAACAGCATCAACTTTAAATGGTTGATGGATTGTATGAAGTGGATGGAATGTTTCATGGGTTTAGGCTGTGTAGGCACAAATTTTGTTGGATTCTGTGTAATAATTGGAAAATGCCTCTTCTGGTCAGCTTTAAACTTAGTGCTGATGTGTTTTCCTCATTGGAAAGAATGTTTTGATATTATCTACCAATTTGATCAATTTAGTTACTCTTGAAATAACTGGAGAATAGATAAGACAGTATTTGACTTAATTTGATTCTCCTAGGTTAACTTAATTTAATGTACTTTAATGTGCATTTACCATGTGTACCTTCAAGATCATTGTTAAACAACTGTCTGTTCTACACACTAAACCTACATAAAACTAACGTGCTTAACTTAGGATATTGTTATTTTTTCATCTTGAAAGGTTTGAATTAGATTTAGGCTGTGTAGTGTCCAAATTTACCATTGTTATTGAAGAAATTTGGATATTAGTTTATGATCTGTGAATGCCTCTTCTGGTTCCTTTCAAATCTTCAACACTAATATTTAACTTTATTATCATCTTATGTCGCACTCGGCACTATTCCATTAACGTGTAATAAGGAGCAAGGGACAGGTTACGTAATACTGGGATACCTTCCTGAGATCATTGAGGTACAGGGGACGAGTTATAAAATATTGGGACGTCTTCCTCGGATCATGGAGGCACAAGGACTGGTGTAATGGAATACGGGGATACCTCGGATCACTGAGGCACAGTGAACTAGGGTAACGTAATACGAGGACACTTTCCTCAGATCACTGAGGCACAGTGAACTAGGGTAATGTAATACGAAGACACTTTCCTTGGATCACTGAGGCACAGTGAACTAGGGTAATGTAATACGAAGACACTTTCCTTGGATCACTGAGGCACAGTGAACTAGGGTAATGTAATACGAAGATACCTTCCACGGATCACCCAGTGACCGAAATACATAAAGTTATTGTTCATCTTAGACCGCCTTTACTTTAAAGTGAGTACCAGGTTTTATCCCGACTTCAAGACTACAGCATATATTTTTTTTAATAAAAATTGGCGTTATACGGCCCCTACAGGTTTAGCACATGGCTTAAATATAATTTGAAATAAATTAATTTACCAGGAGTCTGTCGGGAGGCGAGTCTTTGGCTTCAAATAGAGGTTTTGGCTTCAGCTACCTATTCTAATGTAGATAAATGGCTCAGAGAGCCGACAGAATAACGAATTAGACACTTGTGTAACACTTACGTATCTCTTACTGCGGAAACTTTACACCATCCAGTGACTTCCTCAGTTCAACACATGAAGGGTATTGGACTGAGGAAGCCACTGGTTGGAGTAAACGTTTCCACAAGAAAAATACCCAAGTGTTGCACAAGTGTCTAATTTACCTCGTCTTAGCGTCAAATATACTGGTGGCTCGTGGCCTGGTAGACAAAGCTCTCACTTCACACGCGGAGGGGTCTGGGTTCGATTTCCGGCAAGGGTAGAAACATGGGACTTGTTTCGTTACACCGGTTGTCCATGTTCACCCATCAGCAAAATGGGTGTGATGAATGGTTTTGAAAATCGACAAGTTGAAAAATTGAGACACTTATGCAACATATGGGATTCCCATATGTTGCATAAGTGTCTCAATTCTTCAGTAAAATTAGTACATGGGTGTTAGTGGACTGGTGTGGGTCGCATCCTGGGATAAGGACCTAATTTGCCCGAAATACTCTGCATAACAAGGGGCTTTCTATATAGTAGTATGTCATTGATGTCAGCTATGGTCTGTATATCATGTACATGTACTTGTAGTAAATAAAGATACTATTATTGTTGTTATTATAAATCACTGCTAAAAATTAAAGGTTTCTGATTTTGTCGGCGGTGGTCTCTGGATTCATCTCCGGGGAACCAAACCTACGTTTGGAATACTGCCAAGCCCTTATTTGGTGGGATCAACCAACCAAAATTTTGATTATTATTATAATCAAGGGGGAAGCGCTAAACCCGTAAGATTATACAGCGCCCAGGGGAGGGGGGATGTGGAAGGCATTCAGGCTTAATTCGGGGAACTGGAGCACAGATCCAATTCCCTAAATCAAGAGCCCCTCACCAACATCAAGGAACCTTCCATGAGGGGACCAAAATTTTGAGTGAGCTTCAGAGTGCATATATGGCGGGAATGCTGAAGCTCTTATGTGAATTTGGCGGCAAAGATTAGCGCGTGCGCAATGATGGCAGCTGCGGCTGCTCGACCAATCAGCTCTCAAGGATGGCAGCAAAACCCGTGAACGGCACAACATGGTGCACAGTATAAAAATGACGATGGTAGCGGCAACAACTCATGGAATAAAAGTACGATTTATTGCTTTCCGCGTTGTTGTGTGTGGCGGGAAATTACGTTATACACCGTGGGTGTGGAGTGTCTGGTGTGAAAATTGTCATTTGTTGGGTCAAATAACACTGAGGGAAGGACGATTATTGTTCACCCGAGGGAAAGGTGGGGGGGATAATATAGGCTGTTTCCTGTATGCCTTCTAGCCGAGTGCTATAATATGTTAAGGATGGGGAAGTTGTGTGGAGAGTCGTAGGAGCCTCATGTTGTAATAGGAGTTAATGTAGAAGCAGAAATGTCAAGCAGGTGAGCATTAAAAAGTGGAAACAAACGTTGGCGTGAGAATGTTTGGGTGGAGGTTCTTGGCCTTGACCACTTCTCTGGTATACCTTTCATTTCTAATGTACTTTCCACCTTGGGTTTAATCCATATGGTATCCAGCAATATCATGAATAACTCTTTGTTTGCCAATACAACTACTTTCACTGTCTTCCATGTGGAAAAATTATGTCAAATACTTGGACAAACTTCACTTTTTTTTTTTTTAAAGTTTCTTGGGCTGTACATGGTGAGGAAGATTAATTGTAATTTCATTAACATTTAAATCTCTAAACGTAATGTAAAATCAAGTCATTTTGTTTAGGGAAAAGCTTGGAGGAGGAGCCTCAGGGCATGCAAACAAAAGCCTTATTTACACTTTCACAATTATCCTATAAGCTTACTGGGGAGGGGTTCTTGATCCAAGGAATTTAATTTTGCTTCTTGGATTGAATTTGAATTTGCCTTACATTGCCCCAAGCACTATGACCCCTGTGGGTTTAGCACTCGTGAATGTAATAATTTAAGCTTAAGAAAAGCTCTTCCTTCAAGGGAGGTAGGTACCTTGATCCAAGGAACTGGACTAGGCCTTCCCTTATATCAAACTTAATTTCCTCTTATTCCCAAAACCCTATATGACCCTTATGGGTTTAACGCTCTCCCCTGATTAAAACAAAAGTAAAGAAAAAACTTTTATAAATTATATACAGTAGTTATGGAGACATACAAATGCTTTAGGAATACAGCATTGATATATTATATAAGAACATAAAGGAGAGTAACAATAAGATCAGCATGACCTATTTCCTAAGTAAGCATCCTTAGAAAATTGTTCAGTTATATAGCACTTACAGTCTATCACTTACATCAGATTGACCTACATTTCCTGTGCTTTGTGGCTGGGTCAGAGGCCAAGACAATACTACATTTAATTGGTACTAATGAGACAACTGGCCATAAGTCAGTGCTTGAATTTATTGGGTTATCTTATTTATTTATGCTCAAGTTACTATGCATGACATGCACAGTTATCCTGACTGAATGTGATTAAAAACTTAATAAAGTTTGCCAATATAAAAATGGCTAAGATTTACAACTACAATTCAGCTGAATTCTGACATTAATTTACTTTTTACATATACCCTTTGTATACCACAAATAAAATATTTCTTGTGCAAATTGTTGTTTTGGGAGACTTTAATAAGAATAGTACATTTCTTTTGGTTGTGTAGCAACCAGAATAAACATGTTTATTACACTTTTGTTTAGGTTAGCTTATAAAAAGTCGGTGACTTCCAAAAATAGTACTTTACCCAAGAAGTAATTTGTTTTGCTTGAGTTTGGATACTCTGCTTGTATGATAAAAAAAAAAATGTGAATGGCTGAGTTCTTCTAAACTGCTTTTATAGATGTTGACTGCCTTCTATACTAATTTCAGATTGGACCGATTGTTTGTGCTGTTGGAGAATGGAGCATCTGGTGTCACACGTCAAGCAGCAGCGCAGCAGTTGGGTGAAGTTGTGCGTCTTCACCCTCATGAACTCAATTCCCTCCTTAATCGTGTTCATGTATACCTTAGTTCAAAATCATGGGATGTCAGGATTGCTGCTGGACTTGCAGTTGAGGCTATTGTTAGGAATGTACCACAGTGGAATCCTCAGCCACTGCTGGTGGAGCAAGGTATGTTTTATTTTACAGTACATACCTGTTTTTCTTATTTCCGAGTAGGAACAAGTGTTTCAAATTTAATTAGTCTGTGTTATTCAGATTTGTATGTCACTTAGCATTAGCTAGATAATCATCTTATGAAGTACAGTAGTAGTTCTTCTGGGTCTCAAACCCTGGACCCCAGTAGATTTATGATGTTCAGGTATAACATAATGTATAAATGTTTTTATAGGATCTGGTTCTTACCGAGTCCCTTGGACCCAAGGACCCTAATGGAAATAAGTCACTGTCTGACTCTTTGGGTGTACTCTAGGTAATTTACACTGTGATAATTGTACTTATGCATACCTGTGCCTAAATAAACTTATTTGTGGGTTTTGGTGACTGTGGGCAAGTTGGTCTTATTATACGTACATAGCTTTTTGTCATCTGTTGTTGATTAGAAATTAGGCTGAGACTTCAACTTGGGCTGAAATTGGACATTATACAGAAGACTAGTAGATGGTAGATAGAAATTTCAGTGTCATTTGATCATCAGTGAACATGGTAGTTATGCTTCTGAAAACGGCATCCTGGAAGAGAGGACTTGAACCCCCACTGGAAAAAAGTTACAATGGATGACTTTCCTGGGTTATCCTTAGTCAGTAATCTTCCAGAGTTCATAATCTGAAGAAAACCTTCTCTTAAGCAATAACAAAATAATTAAGACTATTATTGACAGATGAATATTACATTGCAGACGTTTGCCAACTTCATTACCTTCGTAATTATTTGAGTAAAAAAAACTTTCCCATATGACTCTTCAATTTCAGATTTCCAAGATGAGGATTATAATAAACCATCAGCTGGAAGATTATCACTGGGAGCATTTAACCTCAAACATGTTCTTCAGAAGGGCTCATACCTCATGGCTGCTGATGAAAAACTTTTTGAAGCTGAGGATGAAAATATGCGTAAGTTTTAATTATTGTAGTGTGCTGATTTTAAGTCGGATAAGAAAGTCTTGAATAGCAGATCTTGGGATTTTTGGATTATGGAATGCTTTGGGTTTTTCATGTTCCGTTTTATGAAGTGCTGTGAGAAAAATTTACACTTTCAGCATATTTAATGCTGTTTTTATACGTATTATGGTACTATTAAAAAAAACAATTTTCTTTGTCCAGTGTGATCTGTGCACCTAGCTCCTTTTTTTCCATATTGATCCAAGGTCTTTGAATTTATTAACATTTTCTGTAAATACGTATAACCTTAGTGAATATGAAAAGTTTATTCTTTTATTTATTTAGCTTTCTAGTAGTTTTAATTTATTTTTTTGTGATGTACTTTTTTTTTCCAGCCATTAATCCAGCAGAGAGGCTTCTTTGCCAGCGTCGACTTGTGAATCAGAGACTTGGCTTAGATATTGCTGAAGCAATGGGTATGGACATTGAGGGTATATTTTCAAATGATGACTTAGCCGAATCTCAGGTTGAAGGAACAACTTCAGTCAATGGCCAGGGAAAGGTAAGGATATGTTCGAAATAGCTGCACACGTACATCACTCTTAAGAATTCTGCTTCTCTTCTTTTTTTTTTTTTTTTTTTCTCAACAAGTTGGCCGCCTCCCACCGAGGCAGGGTGACCTAAAAAAGAAATAAAATCCCCAAAAAAGAAAATACTTTCATCATCATTCAACACTCTCACCACACTCACACACTATCACTGCTTTTGCAGAGGTGCTCAGAATACAACAGTTTAGGAGCATATACGTATAAAGATACACAACATATCCCTCCAAACTGCCAATATCCCAAACCCCTCCTTTAAAGTGCAGGCATTGTACTTCCCATTTCCAGGACTCAAGTCTGATTATATGAAAATAACCTGTTTCCCTGAATCCCTTCACTAAATATTACCCTGCTCACACTCCAACAGATCGTCAGGTCCCAAGTATCATTCGTCTCCATTCACTCCTATCTAACACGCTCATGCACGCTTGCTGGAAGTCCAAGCCCCTCACCCACAAAACCTCCTTTACCCCCTCTTTCCAACCCTTTCGAGGACGACCCCTACCCCTCCTTCCTTCCCCTATAGATTTTTATGCTTTCCATTTCATTCTACTTTGATCCATTCTCTCTAAATGACCAAACCACCTCAACAACCCCTCTTCTGCCCTCTGACTAATACTTTTATTAACTCCACACCTTCTCCTAATTTCCACACTCCGAATTTTCTGCATAATATTTACACCACACATTGCCCTTAGACAGGACATCTCCACTGCCTCCAACCATCTCCTCGCTGCTGCATATACCACCCAAGCTTCACATCCATATAAGAGTGTTGGTACTACTATACTTTCATACATTCCCTTCTTTGCCTCCATAGATAACGTTTTTTGACTCCACATATACCTCAACGCACCACTCACCTTTTTTCCCTCATCAATTCTATGATTAACCTCATCCTTCATAAATCCACCCGCTGACACGTCAACTCCCAAGTATCTGAAAACATTCACTTCTTCCATACTCCTCCCCAATTTGATATCCAATTTTTTTTTATCTAAATCATTTGATACCCTCATCACCTTACTCTTTTCTATGTTCACTTTCAACTTTCTACCTTTACACACATTCTCAAACTCATCCACTAACCTTTGCAGTTTTTCTTTAGAATCTCCCATAAGCACAGTATCATCAGCAAAAAGTAACTGTGTCAATTCCCATTTTGAATTTGATTCCCCATAATTTAATCCCACCCCTCTCCCGAACACCCTAGCATTTACTTCTTTTACAACCCCATCTATAAATATATTAAACAACCTACTTTTACCGGGAAGTAATCTCCCTCTCTTCTACACACCCTAACCTGAGCCTCGCTATCCTCATAAAAGCTCTTTACAGCATTTAGTAACTTACCACCTATTCCATATACTTGCAACATCTGCCACATTGCTCCTCTATCCACTCTATCATATGCCTTTTCTAAATCCATAAATGCAATAAAAACTTCCCTACCTTTATCTAAATACTGTTCACATAGTAGTAGGTTGGTAGACAGCAACCACCCACGGAAGTACTACCGTCCTGCCAGATGACTGTGAAACAAAAACCTGTAATTGTTTTGCATGATGGTAGGATTGCTGGTTTCTTTTTCTGTCTCATAAACACGCTAAGATAACAGGGATATCTTGCTACTCCTACTAACACTTTGGTCACACTTCACAGACACGCACATGCATATATATATATACATACATCTAGGTTTTTCTCCTTTTTCTAAATAGCTCTTGTTCTTTTTTATTTCTTCTATTGTCCATGGGGAAGTGGAAAAGAATCTTTCCTCCGTAAGCCATGCGTGTCGTATGAGGCGACTAAAATGCCGGGAGCAATGGGCTAGTAACCCCTTCTCCTGTATTACAATTACTAAAAAAAGAAGAAGAAAAACTTTATAAAACTGGGTTGCTTAAATGTGCGTGGATGTAGTGCGGATGACAAGAAACAGATGATTGCTGATGTTATAAATGAAAAGAAGTTGGATGTCCTGGCCCTAAGGCGAAACAAAGCTGAAGGGGGTAGGAGAGTTTCAGTGGGGGGAAATAAATGGGATTAAATCTGGAGTATCTGGGGAGGTTAGAGCAAAGGAAGGGGGTAGCAGTAATGTTAAATGATCAGTTATGGAAGGAGAAAAGAAAATATGAATGTGTAAATTCAAGAATTATTGGATTAAAGAAAAAGGTTGGATGCGAGAAGGGGGTCATAATAAGCGTGTATGCACCTGGAGAAGAGAGGAATGCAGAGGAGAGAGAGAGATTTTGGGAGATGTTAAGTGAATGTATAGGAGCCTTGACCAAGTGAGAGAGTAATTGTGGTAGGGGACTTGAATGCTAAAGTAGGAGAAAACTTTTAGAGAGGGTGTGGTAGGTAAGTTTGGGGTGCCAGGTGTAAATGATAATGGGGGGCCCTTTGATTGAACTTTGTATAGAAAGGGGTTTTAGTTATAGGTAATACATTTTTAAGAAAAAGAGGATAAATAAGTATACACATATGATGTAGGGCGAAATGACAGTATTTTTTGTTGGATTATGTATTGGAGATAAAAGACTGTTGAGTAGACTTCAGGATGTACATGTTTATAGAGGGGCCACAGATATATCAGATCACTTTCTAGTTGTAAGCTACACTGAGAGTAAAAGGTAGATGGGATACAAGGAGAATAGAAGCATCAGGGAAGAGAGAGGTGAAGGTTTATAAACTAAAGAGGAGGCAGTTAGGGTAAGATATAAACAGCTATTGGAGGATAGATGGGGGTAATGAGAGCATAGGCAATGGGGTCGAAAAAGGTATGGGGTAGGTTTTTAAAAAAGTAGTTTAGAGTGTTCAGCAGAAGTTTGTGGTTACAGGAAAATGGGTGCAGGAGGGAAGAGGAGCGATTGGTGGAATGATGATGTAAAGAGGTTTGTAAGGGAGAAAAAGTTAGCATATGAGAAGTTTTTTACAAAGTAGAATGATGCAAGGAGGGAAGAGTATTATGGAGAAAAAGAGAGAGGTTAAGAGAGTGGTGAAGCAAAAGTAAAAAGAGAGCAAATGAGAGAGTGGGTGAGATGTTATCAAAAAAATTTTGTTGAAAATAAGAAAAAGTTTTGGAGTGAGATTAACAGTTAAGAAAGCCTAGAGAACAAATGGATTTGTCAGTTAAAAATAGGAGAGGAGAGTTATTAAATGGAGAGTTAGAGGTATTGGGAAAGATGGAAGGAATATTTTGAGGAATTGTTAAATGTTGATGAAGATAGGGAAGCTGTGATTTCGTTATAGGGCAAGGAGGAATAACATCTTGTGGGAGTGAGGAAGACCCCAGTTGTGAGTGTGGGGAAGTTCGTAGGAAAGTAGGAAAAAAGAAAGGGGGTAAGGCGGGCCGGATTGATGGGATAAAGATAGAAATTTTTAAAAGCGGTGGGGATTTAGTTTTGGAGTGGTTGGTGCAATTGTTTAATAAAATGTATGGAAGAGGGTAAGGTCCCTAGGGATTGGCAGAGAGCATGCATAGTTCCTTTGTATAAAGGCAAAGGGGATAAAAGAGAGTGCAAAAATTATAGGGGGATAAGTCTGTTGAGTGTACCGGGTTTTAAAGTGTATGGTAGAGTTATAATTGAAAGAATTAAGAGTAAGACGGAGAATAGGATAGCAGATGAACAAGGAGGCTTTTGGAAAGGTAGGGGGTGTGTGGACCCGGTGTTTTTCAGTGAAAACATATAAGTGAACAGTATTTAGATAAGGCTAAAGAGGTCTTTGTGGCATTTATGGATTTGGAAAAGGCGTATGACAGGGGTGGATAGGGGGGCAATGTGGCAGATGTTGCAAGTGTATGGTGTAGGAGGAGGTTTCTGAAAGCAGTGAAGAGTTTTTTACGAGGATAGTGAGGCTCAAGTTAGAGTATGTAGGAAAGAGGGAAATTTTTTCCCAGTAAAAGTAGGCCTTAGACAAGGATTTTGTGATGTCACCGTGGTTGTTTAAATATATTTATAGATGGGTTGTAAGAGAAGTAAATGCGAGGGGCTTGGCAAGAGGCGGGAGTTAAAAGATAAAAAATCACCCCACAAAGTGGGAGTTGGGCACAGCTGCTCTTTGCTGATGAACACTGTGCTCTTGGGAGATCTGAAGAGAAGTTGCAGAGATTGGTGGATGAATTTGGTAGGGTGTGCAAAAGAAGAAAATTAAAGGTGAATACAGGAAAGAGTAAGGTTATGAGGATAACAAAAAGATTAGGTGATGAAAGATTGAATATCAGATTGGAGGGAGAGAGTATGGAGGAGGTGAACGTATTCAGATATTTGGGAGTGGACGTGTCAGCGGATGGGTCTATGAAAGATGAGGTGAATCATAGAATTGATGAGGGAAAAAGAGTGAGTGGTGCACTTGGGAGTCTGTGGAGACAAAGAACTTTGTCCTTGGAGGCAAAGAGGGGAATGTATGAGAGTATAGTTTTACCAACGCTCTTATATGGGTGTGAAGCGTGGGTGATGAATGTTGCAGCGAGGAGAAGGCTGGAGGCAGTGGAGATGTCATGTCTGAGGGCAATGTGTGGTGTGAATATAATGCAGAGAATTCGTAGTTTGGAAGTTAGGAGGAGGTGCGGGATTACCAAAACTGTTGTCCAGAGGGCTGAGGAAGGGTTGTTGAGGTGGTTCGGACATGTAGAGAGAATGGAGCGAAACAGAATGACTTCAAGAGTGTATCAGTCTGTAGTGGAAGGAAGGCGGGGTAGGGGCCCGGCCTAGGAAGGGTTGGGAGGGAGGGGGTAAAGGAGGTTTTTGTTGTGCGAGGGGCTTGGACTTCCAGCAGGCATGCTTGAGCGTGTTTGATAGAGTGAATGGAGACAAATGGTTTTTAATACTTGACGTGCTGTTGGAGTGTGAGCAAAGTAACATTTATGAAGGGATTCAGGGAAACCGGCAGGCCGGACTTGAGTCCTGGAGATGGGAAGTACAGTGCCTGCACTCTGAAGGAGGGGTGTTAATGTTGCAGTTTAAAAACTGTAGTGTAAAGCACCCTTCTGGCAAGACAGTGATGGAGTGAATGATGGTGAAAGTTTTTCTTTTTCGGGCCACCCTGCCTTGGTGGGAATCGGCCGGTGTGATAATAAAAAAAAAAAAAAATAATAAATATATGCTTCAATGTAAACACTTGATCTACACATCCCCTACCCACTCTGAAGCCTCTCTGCTCATCCACAATCCTACATTCTGTCTTACCTCTAATTCTTTCAATTATAACCCTACCGTATACTTTTCCTGGTACGTATACTCGGTAAACTTATTCCTCTATAATTTTTACAATCTCTTTTGTCCCTTTTCCCTTTATATAAAGGGACTATACGTGCTCTCCGCCAATCCCTAGGTACCTTCCCCTCTTTCATACATTTATTAAACAAAAGTACCAACCACTCCAACACTATAGACTTTAAAACGAAGTTCGTGGTCAGCTTTGCAAAGCAGAACATCAAGGAAAGGTAGAGTGTTGTCGACGACGGGCATTAAACATCTTCAACACACCCAGAGAAGACACTGCCGAGAAGAGATACATAGTCATCCCCACCAACTCCATTGCCAAACACGTTTCCAACATCTTTTCCAATACCTCATTTCAAGTATCTACCTCCACAACCACGACCATCAAGGACATTACCAGTGATAGACAGGACAAGCTTCCACCCTCTGCAGGGGTATACATAATCCCTTGTAATGACTGCAACAAGTTATACGTTGGCGAAACATCAAGGGACCTCCAAACACGTATTTCAGAACACCAATACGCAAGCAGGTCTGACGACACAAGGAATGCCTGCGTACAACACCGTAATTCACACAACCACTTGATAAACTACAGAAACTCAAGACTTATCGCCACAGAAGACAACACTCAATACCGAAGAATCCTGGAATCATCACTTATTTCTATATCCGACAACTTCAACCAGAATAGTGGCTTCTATAACATAGCTGAACCACTTGCCAAGAAGCTTCTTCATCGCTATCCCACATAAGAACACTGTAGAAGGTCTGCTCACAAACTTGTCCAATCTCCTTTCCAAGCTACCCAAGATTTTAGACTCTATAACCCCACTCGGTACATCATCGGATGCGCATTCTCCACCTGACCTCAGCACTCTGAACCTGACTATAAATACTTGCGTTCCTTCCACCCCAGGTAGTTCTGTTTGTGACTTGAAAAAGCCCACTGTGTGGGCGAAACGTAGTCAATAAAGGATCACATTATACTGCATATGTGTTTATATTTCCATTGTGTCGGTATTTTATACCATTTATTTCCATCTAACTGTAGCTACAACTAAATAATGATCCGATATATCAGTTGCCCCTCTATAAACATGTACATCCTGGAGCCTACCCATCAACCTTTTATCCACCAATACATAATCAAACAAACTACTTTCATTACGTGCTACATCATACCTTGTATATTTATTTATCCTCTTTTTCATAAAATATGTATTACTTATTACCAAATTTCTTTCTACACATAGCTCAATTAAAGGCTCCCCATTTACATTTACCCCTGGCACCCCAAATTTACCTACTACTCCCTCCATAATATTTTTACCCACTTTAGCATTGAAATCCCCAACCACCATTACTCTCACACTTGATTCAAAACTCCCCACGCATTCACTCAACATTTCCCAGAATCTCTCTCTCTCCTCTACACTTCTCTCTTCTCCAGGTGCATACACGCTTACTATAACCCACTTTTCACATCCAATCTTTATTTTACTCCACATAATCCTTGAATTTATACATTTGTAGTCCCTCTTTTCCTGCCATAACTTATCCTACAACATTATTGCTACTCCTTCTTTAGCTCTAACTTTATTTGAAACCCCTGACCTAATCCCATTTATTCCTCTCCATTGAAACTCTCCCACCCCCTTCAGCTTTGTTTCACTTAAAGCCAGGACATCCAGTTTCTTCTCATTTATAACATCCACAATCATCTCTTTCTTATCATTTGCACAACATCCACGCACATTCAGACTTCCCACTTTGACAGTTTTCTTCTTCTTATTCTTTTTAGTAATCATTACAGGAAAAGGGGTTACTAGCCCATTGTTCCCGGCATTTTAGTTGACTTTTACAACACGCATGGCTTACGGAGGAAAGATTCTTATTCCACTTCTCCATGGATATAAAAGGAAAAGTAATAAGACCAAGAACTATTAAGATAAAATCAAAGAAAACTCAGATGAGTGTGTATAAATAAATGTTTACATGCATGTGTAGTGTGACCTAAGTGTAAGTAGAAGTATCAAGAGATGCCTGTAATCTTGCATATTTATGAGACAGACAAGACACCAGCAATCCTACCATCATGTAAACCAATTACAGGCTTTCGTTTTACACTCACTTGGCAGGACGGAAGTACCTCCCTGGGTGGTTGCTGTCTACCAACCTGCTACTTATAGAATTCTGCTTAAAATAGAAAAACTAAGTAACAAAAGATTTTCATTATTTTTAAAGCTGAGTGTGTATAATCAGAAGTTTGTTATCCTCATGCCAAAATTTTTGCCAGTACTGTTAGAATTTTCTTATACCGACCATTACCAATACTTAATTTTAATGCTGATAACAATACCATTAAAATTAGCCAAAATTGACAAACCCCATAACCAACACATGTAGCATTCTCTTTGGCTGGACACAATTGATGGAAGTTGCTGAACAGCACAAGTGTTCAGTGTGAATGTAACTATTTTTTTCCCATATAGTATTGTAAGACATGTAACTTAAGGACATCAGGTGCTAGTGTCCCTATTTGGCATTATTCTAAATTTCTATATTCATTATATCTAATGTTAGTTTTTGCTCCATCCAATTTGTACATGTGACTGTTTGTGAGAAGAGAAAGAGGAGGGTACATTATGCACTATAATCCGTACAGCTGCAAGCACTGCTTACTGTGCATCCATAATCTGGTTCGTTGAAGGCTGGATATTTAAACATTTTTCTTTTTTTCTTTTTATTATACTGTACTGAACTATTATTAGGAGGCCTGGTCTGGGACCAAGCTGAGGGGCAATAACCTCGGGAAAACAACTACAGGTAGCTTACTTGTAATTTTTTTTTTAGGGGGGGAAGGGGGGGTTAGGGAGAAGGTGAATTGGTTAGTTTTAATGAGTGCTAATCCTGTATTTCCTAATTTTCCAGGATACTGTTATGAACATTGTTAAAAGAGAAATGAAGTCAGCTGGATTGGTTTTAAGTTCAAGAGAACTGAATCGGGCCCGACGAAAAGCCAAGCTCTTAGCTAAGCAAAAATCTGTAGACGTATCAGAATGTGTATGTATTAATATACCATGTTGAATTTTAAACTTGAACAACAGACTATTTATTCCAAGTCTTACTTTGCAAATATTCTACTCCAGTTTTACTAATTTTTGTTCCATTTCATTGAGTGTTATTAGGTGATACTGAAGTAATGTACCTAAATATAGTTTTTAATCTTATTGCTCTCCTAGTTTGCAGCTCACTACCTCCATGGGCTACTAAAGTTGTGAATACATTGAAAAATACTAAGGTATACTCTTTGATTTATTACAAACTTGTAATACCTTGGTGGGAAACAGCTGTGGTGATATATTTCTTTTAGAATAGTTGTCATGAAAATTATTTCTCAAACCAGCTATCTCCCACCAAGGTAGGATACCCCCCCCCCCCCCCCAAAAAAAAAAAAAAAAAAAAAAAAAAAAAAAAAAAAAAACTTCTGTCATCACTTGCTCAGTCACCAAACTTCAGTATCCTCACCCCTCTTTCAGAGTGTAGACACTATACTTCATACTTCAAGAACTTGAGTCCTGTAATTTTATGTACTCTAATTAGTTTTATCAATCTATTTTGCCTCATCACATTTTATAACCCCCCCCCCTTTTTTTAAGGGTCTGGTACCCCTAACAATAAACATCAGTCACACAGTTATGAATACTGTACTTCTTTTCCATTACATTTCATTCTTGAGTTCGTGCTTTGAGTTGTCTAGGTGAAAGTTCCACACATTGTTTACCTGGAGAGAGTTTCGGGGGTCAACGCCCCCGCGGCCCGGTCTGTGACCAGGCCTCATTGCTTGCTTCTATAGTCTCGATGCTAAATAAATTCTGATGGTTTTATTTAGCCTTGCAGTAAGCCTTTGTTAAAACAGTGTGTTGCCCACACTAGGCAAAATATTCTAATAAAGGCTTGATCTGTCTTCTATTGGGCTCATTGCATCCTTTCCTTTTATCGACCGATATTTCTGCCCCTCTATCTTCAGAGATGGCTAGGAAGTACCTTTGGTTCTGTAATATACAGTGGACCCCCGCATAACGATCACCTCCAAATGCGACCAATTATGTAAGTGTATTTATGTAAGTGCGTTTGTACGTGTATGTTTGAGGGTCTGAAATTGACTAATCTACTTCACAATATTCCTTATGTGAAAAAATTCGGTCAGTACTGGCACCTGAACATACTACTGGAATGAAAAAAAGTTCGTTAACCGGGGGTCCACTGTATTTGCCTTGGATAAAATAATCATTTCATAATTTTTTCTGCTTCTCTTATTACTTGGAATGATATAATTATTCTTAATTTTAATTGTTTGCCTGTCCTTTCACAAAATATTTACCATGAGGGGTGTGTTCCCCTGTGTATATATGCTGAATTTACTTTAATTCCTATTTTAGGGATTATAATATTCTTGTCTGGTGGTGGAAAAAGTTACCATGCTGCCTTGATGGCCTTAGTATAATCAGTTGGCTTTATATCCCATAAATCAACCACTGTGTCTGGCATTTGGTTTACTATGCCAGACAGTCCATCAAATGACGATGCCAGACCAAATGATGCATATTCATTGCTTAATAGAATTGAAACCCTGACAGTTGATAAATTGTTTTTGACACCCTTATTATTATATATGGTGGGATACGGCCGGTGTGTTGAAAGAAAGAATTATTATATATCTATGTCTGTTTTGAATAATTTTCACATTAGTAAATCAGCAGCAGGGTCAGTGGCCATAGCCCACTATAGAACCAAAAGCTACCCCAATTTCAAGCCTGTATTTATAGGTGAACATCCCAAATAAGTACAAGTACCATCCGACTTATGTCTGAGCTCGGTTCCGACCAACCAGTTGCAAGTCAAAATGGACGCAAGTCAAACCTTCGTAAATTGCATACGTACCGGGTAGAGCATAATGTCAAACCTTTGCTATATAAAGTACCTACATAGTATCATATGTTACTCTTTACTAAATATTTTACTGCTGTATATCAACATCAGTTATTGTAATGATTTTATTTTATTGTTTTATTTTTGTACAGTCGTAAGTACAAGTGGTCGTATGTTGAGCAGGTCGTAGGTCAGATGGTACCTGTACCTGCTTATTTGCCATCCATTGTCTCATTCTGGCAAAAAATTGCACAGCCAAAACCATTTATTGTTTCTTAATGTGAAATTTTATTCGCAGGCAGGGGACGATGGCCCTGAGAGGAAGCGTATTCGTTTGGCAAGTGTGGTGAATACTGATCAAGCTGGTAGTGATGATGAAGACCGAATGGTTGTGGATGAAGGACCAGTTGGTCTTTGTTTTGGGGATGAGGTGAGGTTATATTAACCCTTTCACTGTCGAGACCCCTGATTCTAAACTCACTCTCAGTATCAAAAAATATTAGAAAAAAAAAATTATTTTTTTCTCGCCAAAATCTTAAGAATATTTTTCTGAGTGTTTTAGAAGAAAAAAAATTACGTTCAGTACTTACCAAGATAGAGAGGTGTGAAGTTGACAGAAAGTGAACTGCTTATGGCAACATTGGTGACTGCCTCTCACTCGGTAATATTATTTTTACTTTTATTCTACTTTTTTAATCTTTTATTTTTTCGAGTAACTTTTGTGGCCTGTGAGACCAATATAGTGCATAATGTATATATATCCACTCATTGTATGCAACACAATAACCACACAAACATTATCATTATATTGTTTACAAAACATGTTTACACAAACCCACGCTGTATTCCTCACACCCAAACTGTCATCCTCACTACCCACACTGCCTTCCCCACCACTCATGCTGGAAATAAGTCACTTTGACTTTTTTGGGTTATCCTAGGTTCTCTACACATGCTGCTATGTATGATAATCTATAACTATTTGTGTATACCTGAATAAACTTACACACCATCTTCCCAACCACCCAAGCTGCCTTCCCTTTTTCACTATCTGTATCTGGTATCCTGGGCATTGCTTTTGGTCACAAACTCCTCAAAACCACGAAATTCATCTTCACTGACACTTCCATCTATGTTAGAACTATCACTTGGGAAGAGAAGTCCCAAATTTGCCAGGAAGTGAGATATTTCTTACTGCAAGGCATGATGAACAAGGATTACTGAAATGACGTTCCCATAATGCAATGTGGGTGCCCCTATTTTTTTATACTGCGCACACTTCCCACGCAGACCCATTCTTTCAAAATGTAGGTCTACCAGCTTTCTCCTAATAGATTTGAAGCCCCTAGAATTTTGGCGTATTAATACGTCACCAACACTGGCTCGTAAGACGTATCTATACAGCACCAACATTGAAATGGTTAAGCATTGTAGTAAAGGGAAAATTTGTTAGGTGTGTGTTTTACTAAAAAGTGTATAATTACCGACTCATAGGCATATGAATATTTTACTACAAAGTACTAAATTTTTCTTAGATGATAACATTAGGGGTATTTACGGAATCCCAAAGGTACGCAAAAAATCTGTTGTTTTGGTTTGGTTTTGGTATAGTAATAATGCTATTGGAGAATATTATTATTTATCTTGTTAATGTTGTTTTCTCTTCGTCAATAATGTATAATTTTTTTTTTTCAGTCTGGCAGTATCCCACTGAGGCGGTGACCTAAAAAAAATTTTTTTTTTTTTTTTTTAAATTTAGTAATTTATACAGGAGAAGGGGTTACTAGCCCCTTGCTCCCAGTATGTTAGTCATTCATGTGTAATGTTAGTCATTTCTTACGACATGCATGGCTTACGGGGCAAGAATTCTGTTCCAAGGAGAATCATTTGGTAGTTTAAATTATATTAAGTTGTACATTATAGAGTGGTACTTTGACATACGAGTGCCCCAACTTACGAGTTTTCCGAGTTACAAGCTGTCGCTCAGTCGATTTTTTGCTTTGAGTTGCAAGCCAAAATCCAAGTTATGAGCAAGCTTCAGATACACCACCACTTGCAGGAGATACAGAGGAAATATCAAAAACCTTGATAATAACCAATGTGTAACATCCTTTCAATTTTGATTAAGTAAGTAAGTAGAAATAAAGGGTTTCATTAGTGTGTACTTACATTACCACTGGTAATGTCATATTGCCAGAATGTTCTATAATGTATACCTCTAAGTAAAGAGAAACAATTCTGGAATGTGTAATACATGTTTGGCAGGCCGGCTGGCTGGCTGATTTGCTTTGGCTGTCTTTATCTCCTGTCTGCCTGTATCTATCTCTGTCTCACAGGTATACATAAATACAGTTATACATAGTGTAAATTACCTAGGATAGCCCCAAAAATCCAGGCAGTGTTATACTATGCTTGTAGATGTAAGGCATAATAAGCATGTCTGGCAAGTACAGTAATACACATTTTCACGTGTTCAGGAATCAGACGTGACAACTCTGCATCGTGTGTAATACCTGTCTCTCTGAGACAGACAAGTAGAGACAGGATGACAGAAACAGATAAGCAGAGACAGATGAACATAGACAGAGCTAGACAGACAGAAACACAGATAGACAGATATGTTTGTGTAACAGTGAAAAATAAAGCCAAGGCAGTGCACGCTCATGAAATGTCACTCCACTGCTGCACTGTCAGCAGTGGAGTGACACTCATCTTACACCATGCTTTAAGGATTTTCATATATATTCCAGCATTTCTAAAACTTCTAAAACATTGCTGGGACCTGGCAAAAAAGGTAAAAATTATTTCTTCTTTATAAATACATTTTTCTTATTTAAAACCCCGTAACAAAAAAATTGGAGTGGTTTTTTGGGGGTTGGAATGGATTAATAGCATTTCAGTTAATTTCAGCGAGGAAAATTGATTTGATAGATGAGCAAATTGAGTTTTGAGCTTGATCACAGAACGAATTAAACTTGTAAGTCAAGGTACCACTGTATACTTGTTTATCTGATCTGAGCTTAAGAGAGCAGGGATGTTTTTAGATACTAACATAATTATGGAAATTAGCTTTAGCTAGAAATAAAGGGTTTCATTAGTGTGTATTCTCCATGGGGAAGTGGAACAGAATTCTTCCTCCGTAAGCCATGCGCATTGTAAGAGGCGACTAAAATGCCGGGAGCAAGGGGCTAGTAACCCCTTCTGTATAAATTACTAAATTTAAAAAGATAAACTTTTGTTTTTCTTTTTGGGCCACCCTGCCTTGGTGGGATACGGCCAGTTTGTTGAAAAAAAAAAATTAGTATGTATGATGGAATGTGTACTTGTTCATTTTTGAACTTTAGTATTGGCACCCCTCTGGCAAGACAGTGATGGAGTGAGTGATGGTGAAAGAATTTCTTTTTTGGGCCTCCCAACCTCGGTGGGGAAATGGCCGGTGTGTTAAAAATTTTATAAAATCGCCTGAAATACCTAACTTTAATGCTGTAAAGTAGATTTTATAAATTATCATGGCAGAGCTACAGAGGACAGGATTTAGTTATGCATGACCTTCCTTGCCTTAGCAAAGCTGAGTAGGCATTTCATATTTTACAATCCAGAAGTGTTGACACAAAAGCCCAGAAGACTTTGGGAAAGGATTTTAATTTGTATCATTGATACAGTTTATTCTTTGCTGAAAAATTGTCCATTGAACACCATAATTTACTTTATCAGAATAAGTATAATAGTTCTTTCATCAGGTGAGAAGTATATACAATTTGTTTGCTGGAAGGTAAGGGAGATGAGTGACATTATAAATTCTGACAAATTGCTAGAAGTCTGTCCTGATACTGCAGTAAGAATTTTGTACAGCAGATAATTTGTACCTAACCTTCTTAAGTAGTGCTTTTGTAGGCAAGTTGCAATTGAATGAATTTCTGTTATACTATTTAAAAATATATATTCCATTGTCTTGCAGGGTTGTGAATGGCCCTTGGAAAATTTCTGTGATAATCTTGCCACGGATTTGTTTAGTGTTGCATGGGAAACCCGCCATGGAGCAGCGACAGCACTCCGTCAGATAATCAGAGTTCATGGTCGAGGTGCTGGCAAGACAACGTACCAAACAAAGGAACAAGTGAGTTCTATTTTTAATTTATGTATAATGTTTATCTAGCATTGATTGCCTTTACAATTAAACTAACAGTTTTCAGTTTTTTTTTTTTTTTACTAAGTAAAGCCTTAAATTCACAAAATAATTTTAATTGAAAATACTGATTGAATGCCAAAACTATAACTGATAAGTAGGAAATAGGTAGTAGGCTGGTAGAGCAACAACCCAGGAATCTACTAAAGTCCTATTATAAGAGTGAAACAGAAACCCATTAACTGTTTTTACACTATCAGGCTTGGTAATCTTAGCTTTGTTTCATGAACACTGAAGAAAGCAGACAAGTGTTGCAATTACTATTGACATATAGTATACACCACATTCAGAAAATCCTCTTGTGATACACAGGATAAGTTCTTGAAAATCAGCTGTACGGAAAGTGAAGAACATATGAGAAAATGGTTGTTCCACAGCATTTAAGTTCCCTACTTAGGAAACATTAATGTTGGGTTGATTGAATGTGCATGGCTGTAATAGAGATAAAGAATTGTTTAATACTATAAATGAAGTGAAGCTGGATGTTCTAGCACTAAGTGAAACAAAACTGATAAGGGTAGGAGACTTCATTGTGGAGTAAATGGGATTAAATCAGATATCCAAAAGAACAAGTTTTAATTTTTTTTATGTCCATATAATTTAATCGTATTTACTCGTTAAAGTTTTCCCGACCGTTTAGTATTGCCATCGGGAGTGGTGCTAATATTAAATAATCAACTGTTAAAAGAATTCTGAGGATTAGTTTGAAGGTGGGCTGTGAGAAGTGGATTTTAGTAAGTGCTTATGCACCAGAGGACAACAGGAAATGCACAAGAGATTTTTGGATATGGTAAGCAAATATTTGTGGTTTTGAAAAGTGCAAGAATAATTGTAGATGAACTAAAAGCTTAAGTGGGTGACTGCTGTAAAGGGCAGAGGTAAGTTTGGAGTGCAATACAAAATTACAATATAAAGAAAGTTTCATAACTCATAATACTTTACATATTTTAAGTAAGAGGATAAATTAATATTCAAGGTATGTATTGTGCAATGACAACATGATTTGTGGGATTTATAACTATTCAGCCATAAAACTCTGTAGCTGATTATTTAAAAATATGCTTTTAAATCTTTCTTATTATTTTCTTAAAGATGGAACAAAGTCATCAGGCCTGGCTACAAGACATGGCTGTGAGGCTCATATGTGTGTTGGCTCTGGATCGTTTTGGTGATTTTGTGTCGGACCAAGTTGTAGCACCAGTCAGAGAAACGTGTGCCCAAGCATTAGGTGAGTTAAATGTATATCTGCCCCCCCCCCCTTTTTTTTTACAACAGTAGATCGTTTCCTTTTACTTTTTAAGTTACTTATTTTGATGTAAATGTTATTCATCTGTATGTATAAAAGTAATTTTTTAATTTTGCAGGAAGTATTTTACTTTTGCTAAGTGAAAATGGTGTTTATGGCGCTCTTGCCCTACTGGAGACCATGTTGTCATGGGGAGAGTGGGAGGCTCGGCATGGAGGATTGTTGGGCCTCAAGTATCTTCTGGCTGTGCGAGATGACTTGAGAACTAAGCTTTTCACCCATACCTACCCTCACATTTATAAAGGTAATTAATTTTTTGTTAGGGTATGTCATGTCGTTTAGTTGTATTGAAGACAAGTGGCTTTTAATGGATATGCTGTTGTAGTGCAAGAAGAGTAACTTTCATGAAGGGAGTCAGGGAAACTGGTTATGCCTTTTAGGTTTAAAAAAAATGCTAGACAGAAAAGTGTAGAGATATTTAATGATTGTTATATCCTTGATCATAGGTTTACTGGATGACATGGACGATGTTGTCGCTGTGGCTGCGTCATGTCTTGTCCCTGTGGCAGACAGTGTGGTGGTATTACTGGAAAAGGAAGTAGTAATGAAGCTGGTAGCTACTCTTTGGGATGCCTTGTTAGACATTGATGACCTGACATCATCAACTAATTCTATATTAATGCTTCTTGCTAAGCTGCTAGTACATCTAGGTAACATTGACAGGTGGGTGTCTCTAATATTTAAGTATTTTTCTATTTTTAATCTTTCTGAAAAATCAAACCCTTGAGGTGTTGTCTGACAGAACCACTCATTGTAGCCGTCTCAGGTAATATGGAAGTGGAGGAGAAACGTTACCAAGGATGATGAAATTACTTTGATACCTCACTCCCCAACAGCCCTTTCCTCTCCAAAATCTTACAATCACTGCAAGTTACAAAGTATGTCAAGACTTCTTATCACTTACTGGTTTTCCTCTGACCCAAAATTGTGCAACTTTGGAAATAGGTAATTACATATAGTACTATTTTTCCTAATCAAAACCCTGCACCCTCCACTGACTATAGTTCCAGACCACAATCAACTACACAGAACTGGCAGAAATAGAACAAAGTGAGTTTCCTGAATCACTCTTGACATTTATAAGCCACGGGACTAAAACATAACTCATTGGATAATAAAATGAGCTGGTATTACAACACGGTACTAATAGTCAGGAAGGGCAACAGGAGACCCTAAACTTCATTCTGGTGAGATGAGACTGTTAAACTACTAGGGATTTGATCCAAGCTCTATCATGGCTTAAGGAATGACAAGTCTGCCTCAAACTTAAATGATTATGACACTGATGGAGTCAAAGCTAGAAAAGTGGTGCATTATTTTTTCCTTAATGCTTAACTAGTGGGAATGATAAAAGAACATTGGCTGTTGTACAGAAGAAATTTCAGAATGGCATAAAATACTTAAGCTGACAAATGGGAGTGGCTATAAGTACAAAGAATTAGATGAATCCATCACATGTTTGAATAAGTAGGCGTAATTATTAGTTTTTTTACACCTCAATGCACCGGCCATATCCCACCGAGGCAGAGTAGCCCAAAAGGAAAAATGAAAGTTTCTCTTAAATTTTGTAATTATACAGAAGGGGTTACTGGCCCCTTGCTCCTGACATTTTAGCCACCTCTTACAACCTGCATGGCTTATGGAGGAAGAATTCTATTCCACTTCTCCATGAAAACAAGAGGAAATAAACCTGAACAAGAACTAGTAAGAAAACAGAGGGGTGTGTACATGTATATGCTTGTACATGCAAGTGTAGTGTGTCCTAAGTGTAAGTAGAAGTAGCAAGATGTACCTGAAATTTTGCATGTTTGAGACAGAAAAAAAAGACACCAGTAATCGTTCCATCACGTTAAACAATTAAAGGTTTCCATTTTACATTCACTTGGCAGGACAGTAGTACCTCCCTGGGCAGTTGCTGTCTATCAACCTACTACCTATGTAGTTTTTTACATATATAATTGAAATTAATTGATATTATAATTGATATTAGCAGTTTGGAGGGATATGTTGTGTATCTTTATATGTATATGTTTCTAAACTGTTGTGTTCTGAGCACCTCTGCAAAAACAGTGATTATGTGTGAGTGAGGTGAAAGTGTTGAATGTTGATGAAAGTATTTTCTTTTTGGAGATTTTCTTTTTGGGTCACCCTGCCTCGGTGGGAGACGGCCGACTTGTTGAAAAAAAAAAAATTGAAATTATACAAATATGACCAAAAGTGCAGAATTTTAAAAGTTAGGCAGGAAAGCAAAAGGACTATGAATGCTAACTTTACCTCAGAGTATGGAGTGCACTTTGAGATCATATTTTACCACGTAAGAACTTCATTAAATCTAACCTGCTAATGAAGAAAAAATGCACCAAAGTCGAGGAGCAGTGAACCAGACAGAACAGGAGCATGGGAGAATTTAACAAAGGGTTTAACATTACAGAGATGAGAAACTACATTTAATAAGATGAAAGGTCTCATAGGCTTGGTATGGAAGAAAATAACACTAAAGGGGAAACACGTTGGAAATTAGTCATTAAACACTTGCACCACCAAACAAAAGCCTTGAAATATCAGTATTGCATCACTACTTGTTATGATGTTGTTAGATGGTCATAAATTGAGACATTTCACAATTTATAACCACCCAACATTGGTACAGTAATGTACAGTACTTGAAAATTTTGTACCAGTACTGTGCCTATATGCTGATTGTCATTTTATTTCATTTTCATTCACTGCAATTTGTTCCTTTAATCATTCTTCATCTCTGCTTTCTTTTAATTTTTGTCAGCAGGTTTGTTAAATTAATGCCAAATTCTCTTGTATATGTATTTTTCTCAGTATGTACTTGACAGTAGCAGGTTGTTTTAGGAATTTGACATTGTTAGTGTGAGCAACATAACATTTAACAGGATTCAGCGAAACTGAATAGCCAGACTTGAGTCCTGGAGGTGAGAAGTAGTGCTTGCATTTTATAGAAGGGATAAGGATGTTATGGTTTGGAGAGTTTTCTGAATTGTGATATCTGCACAATTTTGGCAAGAAGTATGCTGATATCACACTTCTTGCCACATCACACTTTGGGGGGTAGGGGGTCACCATAGATTGGTGGAAGACTGGAAATTTAGGATAAAAATAATCTGCTGTTAAATCTTGTAATTGCACCTTATTTATATTACAGCTTCTCCTCACTTAACGATGGAGTTCCATTCCTAAGACCACATCGGTAAATGAATTCATCACTAAGTGAGGAGCATGCTATGACGGTAGTGGGTTTGTGTCAACCATCTTTGATATTGTTTTAATGTCACCTTTGCACTATTTACAACATTTCTGGTATATTTTTAAATGTTCATACAGTAGTGTAATGTACATATACATATTGAAATAAACAGAACAGAGGAAATCAGCTATAATGTACATTTAGGTATGAATACTGCTCATAGAACCCATCGTAAGTCCAAGGCATCGATAAACGAGTACATCGCTAAGTGAGGAGAGGCTGTACAGTGGTACCTTGACTTACGAGTTCCCCAACTTACAAGCTTTCCTAGTTACAAGCCGTTGCTCAGTCGAAATTTTGCTTTGAGTTGCGAGTCACAATCCGAGCTATGAGCGAGCTTCAGATATTCTTCAAAAAATATAAAGTTGCTAAGTTTTTGACATTTGCAAAATATCTTGCCCCTACTCTAACACAGATCCCAAAATATTTGGAATATTTCCAATATTCCACAAGCCAATTGTAGAACAATCACCTTTTTATGATTTCTGTCAACATTATTTCATTTACTTCAATAATAAATGGTGGGCTTCATTAAATAAATCAATAACTTGCTTCCAAGATATTCACCGGGAATGTGGGCTGGCCTCTAGTGCAGTTAACCTCTCAAAAACTCCGTTTTCTCTTACCCAGTACCAAAGAACACGTTATAGGAAGGAGAAGTGATGATTTTATATTCTTAGACTAGTCCTGGACACTCACCTTATTATGGCCTATTTTATTCATTCTAGAGTATATATCATGTTTCTATATTATACTTGGTGTTTGTCATATTAGATCAATTTTGATAGATAAATAAGCCGTAGAGTTGATATTAGCGTTATATTGAAGTGTTTTTTCCTGCCCCTTGAGACTCGGGAACTCCGGTTACGTAAGCAAATGTCCAAGGTAAATACACTTTATAAAACCAGTTTTTCTGTATATTCTTTTATTACGTTTTATTATGTTTTTGTACAATACATATTTCTTATTTATAAATACATTTTTCTTATTTAAAACCCCATAAAAAATTGGGGTGGTTTTTTGGGGGGCTGGAATGGATTAATGGCATTTCAATTAATTTCAATGAGGGAAAATTGAGTCAAGAGCTTGGTCACAGAACGAATTAAACTCTCAAGTCAAGGTACCACTCTTTTATTATTACACATTGGCCATCTACCACAAAGTCAATGACCCAAAAAAGAAACTTTCATCACCATTCACACTATCACTCCCTTGCCAGAGACGTGCAGATACGACAGTTCAGAAAACCCTCAAAACGGCAATTTTCCCCACCCCTTCCTTTAAGAGTGCAGTCATTGTCCTTCCCACCTCCAGGACTCAGGTCTGGCTAACAGGTTTACCTGAATCCCTTCACAAAATATTACCCTGCTTACAGCTCATCAGGTCCCAAAACGTTTTGCCCATCTTGATAATAATGATTTAAGACTACTTTATAGAGTACTGTACTGTATTGTCAACAAGGAGGGAGAAAGTTTTTGTTTAATTTTATAATTAGTGTGGTTTTTTTCACAAGTTACTTTTTTTTTTCAGCAGTGCAACTAGCAACCTTAGTGAGCTGGTACCTCGTTTGTGGCCATTTCTGTACCACAGTAGTAGCTCTGTCCGAGGTTCAGCTCTGAAGACATTGGATACACTTACATCATATATTACACCACCGAAAGTATCTACTAACACAGTGCCTTCAACAAATGTAAATAACAAAGCTTTTGTAGATGTGAAATCGCCAAAAGAGAGATTAGAACAGATATTGACAAAAAATGTTGATATTAAAAAAGAAAGTAACTCTGGAATATTAGCCAAGACTGAATTACCAAATACTAAAGTAGAGGTTGAAAATATACAGCCGAAAGTTAACAAAATAGAAAGCAAATTTATATCCGATGCAAAAGAAGAAAGTGATAAATCTGATATCCAATTGGAAGTAGGAAGGTGTTTTAAATTCGGAAGTACCAAGAATGGAGACAGTGGCTTTATAACATCGACAACTATATCTGTGGAAGATGCCTGTAAAACAGATTCAGCATTTACAAAAAATGAACTTGAAACAGAATCTGTGAAGAATTTACAAAATGCTCATGTAACCAAAGAAAAAACATTTTCCAAAACAGAGGAAATTAATTTAGAAAATGAAAAAAGCAAATCTTTGAAAGATGGGGTGGATGACTTAACACCATGCACAGATACTAATACTGGCTCTGAGAAAATGCCCGTATCATTGTGTAACTGGTTAAGTTCTATCATCCAGCCAGCATTGTCACATATTTATCAGAGAGCTTTATTGGAAAAATCTGCACAAAATCTTGACCTTGTTTTTAAGGTAAATAAATACAGTACTAGATATAATAGTAGTTTCTAAATATTTTCATACTCATGATGGTGTAACTAAAATTTATTTAGTAAGAAAGTGTTATGTATATTTTGTTTATTTTTAGACAAACTGCATTGCTAGAGGTCCAGCAAATATAGAATCTGTCAATAATGCAAAGCAAAAAATTCTGTATCTCATTCAAAACTATCCCTTCTTTCCTCCACTGCAGATATATACTTCCTCCAGATAATCCTGTTTTGCCCCATCCTCTAAATAAACAAGCTACCTCAATAACCTCTCCCAACCCTCTGGATAATACTTTTAGTAACCCCTTACCTCCTCTTCATATCCTAGCTAGGAATTCCCTGCATAATATTCACACCACACATTGCCCTCAGACTTGACATCTCCACTGCCTCCACCCTACTTCTCACTGCAATATTTAAAACTTGCTTAGGTGAAAATTGGTAAGTACAATAAACCCTTGATATAAAGGACTTGTAAAAACATGGGCAAAGTCCACTAGTTAAATTGTACTTTTAGCTTCTTTATTTTCAATGTTATTGCAGTATATCTGTAAATTGTGTGTACAGTACTATATTAATATACAGTACTTTATTGCACTAGTTTGCTATTTTTTAACAATGCTCCTATCAAAGGTTAGCTGTATTATCATACTTGTATTGTGTACATCTTTGCTAGAACTAAACAAATGTACCATGTTAATGTACTTAATAATTTTTTTTTGCATAACTTCTACAGATATGGCAAAAGATGGTGGCTAATGTGTCCCTGGACTATCTTCTGCCAGCAGTGTGCCCCATGGTCTCTTCCTGGTTGTTTCTCATAATGTCAAGTCATAAAATGCCTCTTGATTCGACTCTGCTGCTCATTGCTCATCATAACAAGGTTAGCAATGAAAATGAGAGAATCTGTAAAATTATTTACCTAGAGTATACTTGGAGAGGGTTTCGGGGGTCAGGGCTCCCGCAGCCTGGTCTGAGACCAGGCCTCGTGGTGGATCAGGGTCTGATCAACCAGGCTGCTACTGCTGGTAACACGTAAACCGATATATGAACCACAGCCCGGCTGGTCAGGTACTGACTTTAGGTGCCTGTCCAGCGCCTTCTTGAAGACAGGAGGGGTCTATTGGTAATTCCCCTTATGTATGCTGGGAGGCAGTTGAACAGTCTTGGGCCCCTGACACTTATTGTGTTGTCTCTTAGTGTACTCCTGGCGCCCTTGCTTTTCAATGGGAGGGATGTTGCATCTCCTGAGTCTTTTGCTTTCATAGGAAGTGATATTCATGTGCAAGTTTGGTAGTAATCCCTCTAGGATTTTCCAAGTGAATATTATCATGTATCTTTCTTGCCTGCATTCCAGGGAATAAAAATCAAGGGATTTTAGCCGTTGCCAGTAATTTAGGTGCTTTATCGTACTTATGAGTGCCATGAAATTCTCTGTACATTCTCCAGTTCAGCAGTTTTGCCTGCCTTGAAGAGGGCAGTTAGTGTACAGCAGTATTCCAGCCTAGACACACCAAGCAATTTGAAGAAAATCATTATGGGCTTGGTGTTCCTAGTTTTGAAGGTTCTCATTATCCATCCTATCATTTTTCTAGCAGATGAGGTAGATGCATTGTTGTGGTCTTTGAAGGTGAGATCTTCTGACATTATCACTCCCAGGTCCTTCACATTAGTTTTTTTGCTCTGTTGTATGGTTAGAATTTGTTGTATACCCTGATACAGTTTTAATTTCTTCAAGTTTTCCATATCTGAGTAGTTGAAACTTCTCTTCATTGAACTTTATATTTTCTGCAACCCATTTAAAGATTTGGTTGATGTTCGCTTGGAGTCTTGCAGTGTCTTCAATGGAGGACACTGTCATGGCAATTCAGGTGTCATCCACAAAGGAGGTTAGTACTAAGCTCTGGCTTACGTCTCTGTGAGATATGAGAATGAGGAACAGGATGGGAAAGAGTACTGTGTCTTGTGGAACAGCTTTTCACTGTAGCTGCCTCATCTTATAGTTGCAGCAGCATTTAGTGTTTGTGAAGAAATACCAAGTGTCTCTTTTGCTTCACTTTTTTCTTTTAATTGTGATCTGTTATATGTAGACATTTGTGTAGTTTGTTTTTCTTAGGGCAAATAATTTGTGAATTGGAACCATTATTAGGCCATTTGGCAATCCCTGCTTCACTTCCACTGGTAATATTTTTCCAGGAGGACATTATTCTCTTTACATTTTTCTTTCGATAAAAAATTCACCCCTAATATTTTGCATTTTATTCATTGAATGTTTTGTGATTTTCAGATTTATATTTCATAGGAAGATTTATCAAAAGTGATATAAATATAAATATAGTAAGTGCTCTTCCCATCCATTTCTTTACTAAGTAATTGAAGTTACTAAAATCTTAAGCTTTCTGAAAATCTTAAAGTATGTTTTGAAATAATTCTGAATTTATCCACCTTTAGCTCTTGAATCAACAGGTATTCTGGAGTATAACAATGAATTATGTATATACTATATATGTACATATACATATGTATATTGATAGAATAAAATTAAACTCATGTTGCATACTTAGTTCAGTAAATTGGCATTGATCTTATCCTTAGTAATTTGCATGACAAAGGACAAGAGCAGAAATGACATGCATAGTAATTAGGTATTATACATAAACCAAATGTATTTTCAGTCAGGAGAGGGACGGAGATTGCGTGGTAGTGCTCTAAGTGATCCAGCAGATAAACCGGAGATGAAGTTTTACTTGGGGGGCTGCGAGCAGTGTAATGATACATGTGAAAAGCAGCAGATTACAGTCAGGGCTCGCTGTGCTGCAGCAAAACTTCTTGGTATGTAGTCAGTCAGACAATAAATATTTTAAATTCAATCCTCTACAGGGTATATTCACTGGTTTCTCATGCTGATTTATCATTTTTATTTATATACAGTAAATTCTTTTGGATAATTTATGCTTTGGATGATGACTTTTGAGAATAAAATTCTGGCTTTTTGAACCTGGCTCTTTTCGAGAATATTTTACTCTTTCAATTTAAATACTGTATATATAACCTGATTGACGAGTTGCAATTATCTGTACCTTCTTATCTATACCTTCTCCTCTGGGAATTATTCCGAGGATAGCATTGTTTAAACGTACTGTCTAGCGTGCTTTCATCCTTATTTCATCACAGGGTCTTTGTCGAATCTACTGTACTCTCGGATTTGAGTTACCTACCAGTTGCACCATCTCCCTGTACTGTCATTATTATACAGCTTTTTCTACATAGGTTCCTAGTAATCATTTATTTATTTATTTATTTTTTATTTATTTATTTTTTTATTTATTAATTTTTTTATTTATTAATTTTTTTATTTATTAATTTGAACATGATACAGTGAAGTACAAAGGAATACAGTTATTACAGTGCAACATGCCAAAGTCCCTTGTATGCAGAGCATTATGGGCAGACTTAAAATTAAGTTAAGATTAACTAAGCAATGATATATTCAGTGGTAAAAACATTGTTGTAAGCAGATAACAATTTAGCACAAATGAGTATTGATAAATTAGACACATGTGCAACTCTTGGGTTGAGGGACTGATTACCTCATTCTCCTCCTGTTCTTCAAATTTCTCCTATGTATGGACTGATGAAGCCACTGTGTGGCGAAACGTTTCCTCAATAAAGATACCCAAGAGTTGCACATGTGTCTAATTTATCAACATGTCGGTTCTCTGAACCATTCATCTACAAATGAGTATTACAAAGACAGGTCATATGGTCATTTACTGTGTTGCTGTGCATTCAGTAGAATGGAGTATTCTGTTAGGTAATGTAATTAAAAAATAAAGTTTGATTAGGTCACAGGTTAGACCCTGCCTTGGTGGGAATCGGCCAGTGTGATAATAAAAAAAATAATAATAATAATGAGAAACATTTACGAGATACAATTATTCAGTATTTATTTACTTGTGGGTGAGTAAGTGATTTTTGAGAAGACTTGAATTTATAAACAGACAGTGTTTCTTTTATATTCACAGGTATGGGTGCACTTCAGTCCTGCTTTTTTCGAGCATTATCATTCTTGGAATTTCCTAAATTTCACTCATAACTTAACAAAGTTTACTTTAACCACACAAGTTTGTAGATGAATGGTTCAGAGAACCAACAAGTTGATAAATTAGACACATGTGCAACTCTTGGGTATCTTTATTGAGGAAACATTTTGCCACACAGTGGCTTCATCAGTCCATACAAAGGAGAATCTTGAAGAGCAGGAGGAGAATGAGGTAATCGGTCCCTCAACCTTGAGTCGATGTGGTCAGTCCATCAATCTTGAATAGAATACGGCATAAGTGTGGAGAAGGAGCTTATAAACCGTAGGCAGGAGAGGTGCAGCAGTCGTAGGTGGTGTCACATTTGTTCAATGTGGAAGTAGGTCGTGCCCAAGGGTTAGGCAAGCGAAGAATTCCCAAGTATTAAGATCCCAAGAAGTTGCAGTGTCTGACAGGATTGTAGATAAATGGTTCAGAGAATCGACAAGTTGATAAATTAGACAGATGTGCATCTCTTGCGTATCTTTATTGAGGAAATGTTTCACCACTGTGTGGCAAGATGTTTCGCCACAATAGTTTTGGTAATCCCACACCACCTCCTAATTTCCGAACTACGAATTCTCTGCATTATATTCACACCACACATTGCCCTCAGACATGATTTCTTCACTGCCTCCAGCCTTCTCCTCACTGCAACATTCATCACCCATGCTTCACACTCATATAAGAGTGTTGGTATAAATATACTCTCATACATTCCCCTCTTTGCTTCTACTGACAGTTATTTGTCTCCCCAGACTCCTAAGCACACCGCTAACCCTTTTCCCCTCATCAATTCTCTTGATTCACCTCATAGACCCATCTGCTGACACGTCCACTCCTAAATATTTGAATACATTCACCTCCTCCATACTCTCTCCCTTCTGATATTCAATCTTTCGTCATTTAATTTTTTTTTTGTTAACCTCATCACCTTACTCTTTCATATATACATGTATTCACTTTTAATTTTCTTCTTTTACATACCCTACCAAACTCATCCACCAACCTCTGCAACTTCTCTTCAGAATCTCCCAAAAGCACATTGTCATCAGCAAAGAACAACTGTGACAACTCCTACTTTGTGTTAGATTCTTTATCTTTTAACTCCACACCTTTTGCCAACACCCGAGCATTCACTTCTCTTACAACCCCATCTGTAAATATATTGAACAACCATGGTGACATCACGCATCCTTGTCTAATGGCTACTTTTACTGGGAAATAATCTCCCTCTCTCCTACATACTCTAACCTGAGCCTCGCTATCCTCATAAAAACTCTTCACTGCTTTCAGTGACCTACCTCCTATTTCATACACCTGCAACATCTGCCACATTGCCCCCCTATCCACCCTGTCATATGCCTTTTCCGAATCCATAAATGCCACAAAAACCTCTTTACCATTATCTAAATACTGTTCACCTATGTTTTGCTGTAAACATTTGATCTACATACCCCCTACCTTTCTTAAAGCCTCCTTATTCAACTGCTATCCTACTTTCCATCTTACACTTAATATAGCAGTCATAATGTTATTAATACTGTATATTCATGCAGTTTGCAGAGACATCTAATCTGTCGTATCTGAGTGCCTCTGCAAAGGCACTGATTATGTATGAGTGATGTTGAAAGTGTTGAATGATGAAAGTTTTTTCTTTCTCTTTGGGTTTTTCTCTTTTTGGTCACTTCCGTGGTAGGAAACAGCTGACGTGTTAAAAAAAATCATCAGTGAGATTTATCTTTATTACACTACATATACTGTATTCTCAAATTTTCAGGTTGTCTTTCTCAATACGTTATTAAGCCTATGCCGGGTGTGGAGTACCCGCCTGAGGATACGCCAGTCCTATGTTACGTGCGCCTTCTTATTGCTCATCTTAGTTCACGATCAGCTGTTCAGCGTCTTGGGGCTGGGGCAGTAGTGAGAGAGTGGGCATCAATATATCCCAACCAAGAATGCCATCCTCAGCTGCAGAGTGTTCTTCATACCTGCCTTACAGAAGTTGTGTACTATGATGAAATTGCTTTATCATTTACCAGGTAGGGTTAAGACAGTTGCTAAAGTAAGATTTTGTTACAGTAGTTATTTAAAGGTAAATTTGTGATACTTTAGATGTGCCCTAGAAATTGAAAGTGGAATTGCAAACATAGGTCTTTATAGCTTTCTCTAGTTAGGGATGGATTAGAGAGGTGCAAGTGGCAAAAATATGACTTAACCATGTGGGTCTTGATTGTGCAAAATGTCAGCAGGGTGGCTAGAGCTAATATCAAGAAAAAGAAGTACTTGACTTGCCAGTCTGCTGTACTTTAGGTATAAAGGAATACATACTTGAATGAATCATTAAAATGGGGCCTTCCTATTAGACCCAAAATAGGTTAAAAAGAGGAGATTTTGCCATTTAAGACATGAGAGTTTATAAGCCATACACCAACTTCTATTTAGATTAAAATGGTGCTTTGATGCCTTGATGGTCAGAAGCAGTGATGGCAGTAACAATCAAATGCATTGACAGCCTTAGTATGATCTATTGCTTGCTTTAACAGCATAATGTATTGATAGCAAAAGGTTCTTGATGCATCCACTCCCAACACCACCTGTCTTGATATTTCGCACTCGCTTCAGGCCATAAGCATTGCCTAGAATAATGTGAATTAACCCTGCAGGGTACTGTAGCACTTGGCAGCTGTGTGGTCAGCTGATGCAGTCTTTTGACAACCTGATGTTGTGCTTAAAATTGTTAACCTTTTACCTTCCCCTTTCCCCCTATACAGCCTCTACTCACTCAATGACGGAATTCTGTTTCTAAGACCACATCAATAAATGAATTCATCACTAAATGAGGAGCATACTATAATGGGTTTGTGTCAGCCATCTTTGATACTGATTGTTTTAACGTCACCTCTGCACCATTTATAACATTTTTATTATAATTTTTAAATGTTTGTACAGTAGTGTACTGTATATTGTAATAAACAGAATAGAGGAAATCATCTCTAACATACATTATTTAGGTATACATACTGGTCAGAGAGCCCATTGTAGGTCAGTCATCAGTAAACGAGTACATCGCTAAAGTCAGGAGAGGCTGTGGTAATATTAGACACATTTCCACTGCTGTCATCTTATTTACATCAATAAATACTAATACACAAGTGTCAGCACCACTGTGATTCAATCCCATTTTTGCTTTCATTAACCTTTCCTTAAACTAGCTATTGACACTCACAGTTTACTTCTCTCTATTTTGTAATTTTTCTCTTTCTATAAACCATGCTGCTAATATATTACTCACAAATATCTAAAGACATTTGCTTCTCTCATAATCCTTCCTTCCATTCTGACCTCATCTTTAATTCCACATACCATACAGTGGTACCTTGACTTACAAGTGCCCCAACTTACGAGTTTTCCGAGTTACAAGCCGTCACTCAGTCGATTTTTTGCTTTGAGTTGCAAGCCAAAATACAAGTTAGGAGCGAGCATCAGATATGCCTCCACTCGCAGGAGAGAGGAAATATAAAAAACCTCGATAATAACCAATGTGTAACATCCTTTGAATTTTGATACCACTGGTAGTGTCATCCTGCAAGAATGTTCTATAACATATGCCCTAAGTAAAGAGAAACAATTCTGGAATGTGTAATACATGTTCGGCTGGTTGGGTGGCCAGCTGACTGACTGGCTGATTTGCTTTGGCTGTCTCTATCTCTTTCTGTCTGTCTGTATCTATCTCTGTCTATCTGTGTCTTTATCTCACAGGTACACATAAATACAGTTATGCATAGTATAAATTACCTAGGATAACCCCAAAAAAACCCAGACAAAGTACCATACTATGCTTGTAGATATAAGGCATAATCAGCATGTCTAGCAAGTACAGTAATACACATTTTCACTTGTTCAGAAATCAGACGTGACCGACTCTGCATCATGTGTAATACCTGTTGCTATTCATGAGCGGTTCTCTCTCTCTGAGACAGAGAGACAGGCAGACAGAAACACAGGCAGACAGAAACACAGATAAGCGGAGACAGAGATAAACATAGAGCTAGACAGACAAATAGATAGAAACAAACAGATAGACAGACATGTTTATTTGTAACAGTGAAAAATAAATCTAAGGCAGTGCACAATCATCAAATGTCATTCCACGAGTGTCACTCCACTGGCAGTGGAGTGACACTCATCTTACACTGTGCTTCAAGGAGTTTCATATATACTCCAGCATTTCTAAAACATTGCTGGAACCTGGCACAAAAGGGAAAAATCATTTCTTATTTATAAATACATTATACAGTGGACCCCCGCCTTACAATATTAATCCGTTCCTGAGAGCTCATCATAAGCCGAAATTATCATTAGCTGTATTAATTTTACCCATAAGAAATAATGGAAATCAAATTAATCCATTCCTGACACCCCAAAGTATGAAAAAAAAAATTTTACCACATGAAATATTAATTTTAATACACACAAACTGAAGAAGACATGCACAATTACTATACTAAAAATAGAATATATGACATTTACCTTTATTGAAGATCTGGTGATGATTAATGGGATGGGAGGAGGGGAGAGTGTGGAAGTTATTGTTTAGAAGGGGAATCCCTTTCCATTAGGACTTGAGGTAGCAAGTCCTTTTCTAGGGTTACTTCCCTTCTTTTAATGCCACTAGGACCAGCTTGAGAGTCACTGGACCTCTGTCGCACAACAAATCTGTCCATAGAGCTCTGTACCTCCCGTTCCTTTAAGACTTTCCTAAAATGGGCCATAACATTGTCATTGTACAGGTTGCCAACACGGCTTGCAGTAGCTGTTTCAGGGTGATTTTCATCCATAAAGGTTTGCAGTTCAACCCACTTTGCACACATTTCTTTAATCTCTTTTTTTCAATTCCATACTAATTCTCACCCTTTTTACCACAGGGATGGCACTAGAAGCATTCTTGGGGTCCATGGTGACTTACTTTGCAGTTACAAGCACTAAAAACACTGGGATAATGTGAAATGTACCGAATGTATGCGTAGATGGGACCACACTGGCTGGCTTGTAAACACTGGTGCTGAGGCCACACGTGGGATGTGTCCCAGACGAATCACGTAAGGCGAGTTTTTTATCGTGAGGCGAGGCAAAATTTTTGTGTTCAAATGCTTCATATGGCGGATTTAACGTAACGCGATGCGTTCGTAAGGCGGGGGTCCACTGTATTTTGCTTATTTAACGCTTTGACTGTTGCAAGCCCATTTCTGAAACTGTCATTCTATGTCGCAAAATTTTTGGAATTTTTTTTTTATGAAATGATAGAGAATCTTTTCCTGATGCTAATGACACCAAAAGTACAAAATTTGATCGAAAACTTACGAAATTACGTTCCCATGAAGTTAGTGATCTCGTTGATATATACGCATTGGTGACTTCACCGACTTTGAGCCCTATTTTCAGCCAATTCCATTGTTCCAGTCGACCACTCATAGCTGTTTCTTTAGAACAACATTTTTTCTCTCAATTGAGTACAAGAAACCGCCCATTTACCAATTTCAACTACCCAATAAAGTGGTCAGAAATTGGCAGTTTGGCCAATTTCATGCAAATTAAAAAAGATGCCAATTTCAAAATAGGGTCCAGAATAAACAATGCAGACTTTCTTGGCACTAAAATAACATATCCTCTGTTCATTAGTCAAGTCTCCAGGCCCCTCTTATATTACTCTTGCTTTCTATTTTGATTTTTTATTCACACAAAAAATAGATTTACTGTTATGCAGACTACTACATTATTGTAAAAATGGTACAAATAATATTAGTGCACTAGTGAAAGAATATTAGACTCCTCAGTTGACGTGTATTAGACGTGTGGTGTGATTTGCTTACTCTTGAACATTGGTAAAAATGGAACATTTCTGCTATTTGAGCTCAATTTCAAGGTCGTTTTCATCGTGAAACTAATCAAAATTATCTTTGTTTCTGTAATATGTTTTCCATTCTGTCAAATGAGACCAAGAAAACGAGAATACAACCATAAATACTACACGAAAATACAGTGGACCCCCGCATACCGATTTTAATCCGTGCAAGAGGGCTCATTGGTATGCGAAATAATCGGTATGCGAATGAATTTTCCCCATAAGAAATAATGGAAATCAAATTAATCCGTGCAAGACACCCAAAAGTATGAAAAAAAAAATTTTTTACCACATGAAATGTTAATTTTAATACACACAAACTGAAAAGGGCATGCACAATTACATGACACTTACTTTTATTGAAGATCTGGTGATGATTGATGGGATGGGAGGAGGGGAGAGAGAGTGTTAGTGTTTAGAAGGGGAATCCCCTTCCATTAAGACTTGAGGTGTCGAGTCCTTTTCTGGGGTTACTTCCCTTCTTCTTTTAATGCCACTAGGACCAGCTTCAGAGTCACTGGACTTCTTTCGCACAACATATCTGTCCATAGTGGCCTGTACCTCTCGTTCCTTTATGACTTCCCTAAAGTGTTTCACAACATTGTCAGTGTACAGGTTGCCAACACGGCTTGCAATAGCTGTGTGAGGGTGATTTTCATCCATGAAGGTTTGCACTTCAAGCTACTTTGCACAGATTTCCTTAATCTTTGTAGTAGGCAACTTCTTCAATTTCTCTCTCCCCTCCTCTGAACCAGTTTCCTCAGGTCTGGCCTCTTGCTCTTGAAGTTGATCTATAAGCTCATCAGTGGTTAGTTCTTCATTGTCCTCCTCCACCAACTCTTCCACATCCTCCCCACTAACCTCCAACCCCAAGGACTTTCCCAATGCCACAATGCATTCCTCAACTGGCATAATCCTCTCAGGGTTAGCCTCAAACCGTTCAAAATCCCTTTTGTCTACACATTCTGGCCACAGTTTCTTCCAAGCAGAGTTCAAGGTCTTCTTAGTCACTCCCTCCCAAGCCTTACCTATAAGGTTTACATAATTGAGGATATTAAAGTGCTCTCTCCAAAACTCTCTTAGAGTCAGTTGAGTTTCTGAGGTCACTACAAAGCACCTTTCAAACAGAGCTTTTGTGTACAGTTTTTTGAAGTTTGCAATAACCTGATGGTCCATGGGCTGCAGGAGAGGAGTGGTATTAGGAGGCAAAAACTTCACCTTAATGAATTTCATGTCCCTATAAAGTCACTCTGCCACGTCTGTAGGATGACCAGGGGCATTGTCTAACACCAGGAGGCACTTAAGTTCTAATTTCTTTTCAGTTAGGTAATCTTTCACATTGGGGGCAAATGCATGGTGTAACCAGTCATAGAAAAAGTCCCTAGTGACCCATGCCTTACTGTTTGCCCTCCACAGCACACACAAATTCTCCTTGAGGACATTCTTTTGCCTGAATGGTCTGGGAGTTTCAGAGTGATACACTAATAAAGGCTTCACTTTGCAATCACCAGTAGCATTGGAACACATCAGCAAAGTAACCTGTCTTTCATAGGCTTATGTCCTGGGAGTGCCTTTTCCTCCTGAGTAATGTAGGTCCTGCTTGGCATTTTCTTCCAAAACAGGCCTGTTTCATCACAATTAAACACTTGTTCAGGTTTCAGTCCTTCACTGTCTATGTACTTCTTGAATTCCTGCACATATTTTTCAGCTGCTTTGTGGTCCGAACTGGCAGCCTCACCATGCCTTATCACACTATGTATGCCACTACGCTTCTTAAATCTCTCAAACCAACCTTTGCTGGCCTTAAATTCACTCACATCAGCACTAGTTGCAGGCATTTTTTTAATTAAATCCTCATGCAACTTCCTAGCCTTTTCGCTTATGATCGCTTGAGAGACGCTATCTGCTAGCTGTTTTTCATTTATCCACACCAATAAGAGTCTCTCAACATCTTCCATCACTTGCGATCTTTGTTTCGAAAACACAGTTAAACCTTTGGCAAGAACAGCTTCCTTGATTGCCTTTCTGGTGCCCACAATAGTAGCGATGGTTGATTGGGGTTTCTTGTACAACCTGGCCAGGTCGGCGATACGCATTCCACTTTCATACTTATCAATGATCTCTTTCTTCATCTCTATTGGAATTCTCACCCTTATTGCTGTAGGGTTGGCACTAGAAGCTTTCTTGGGGCCCATGGTCACTTGTTTTCCAGATAAAGCACCGAAAACAATGTAATAATACGAAATGTTCCAATTGTATGCTTGGATGTTACCGCGGAGGCTGGCTGGTAAACAATGGCACGGGCGGCACATGTGAGGCTGGCTGAGGGCGCACATTGGACGCGTCTCGGACGAACAGCGGTGAGCGGGTTTTTAAGCGGTATGCGAGGCAAAATTTTTGCGATTAAAGCAAGCGGTATGCGGATTAATCGTTATGTGATGCCAACGGTATGCAGGGGTCCACTGTACACCTCAAAGTCGGCACTTTAATCTAATAACACAGTCTGAGGTTTTTTTTTTCTCTCTCATTATGCATTGCGTGTTGCAGGAATTTTTTTATACAGTGCACACTGACCACACAGACCCATTCTCTCACATGTGGGCCTACCAGCTTTCTCCTGCTTGATTTGAAGCCGCTAGAATTATTGAATATATATACGTCCGAAACACGGGCTCGTAAGATGTATATATACAGCCGAAACAGTCAAAGGGTTATAAACCCGTAACTAAAATATTGGGGTGTTTTTTTTAGGGGCTGGAATGGATAAATGGCATTTCAGTTAATTTCAGTGAGGAAAATTGATTTGATATACGAGCAAATTGAGTTACGAGCTCAGTCACGGAACGAATTAAATTTATAAGTCAAGGTACAACTCTATATCTTAGGTCTTATTATGATAATACTAAATTAACACATGTATGTATGTGTAGGAATGTTTTATCTTACTATTTAAACAGTGGTGTTTAATGTAATAAAAAATTTAACAGATTACAGCAAGAAACACGTGACTTCATGGCAATGCTGAGACATTACAAGCTGCCCTTAGAGGAGTCCTTCACTGCTGCTCCTGTTCTCACGCTTGAGCAGGTTGGATATTTTTATTTTATGTTCATTTGCTTATTGAATAGCTGTTCATTAATTGTTTTTAGCTGTATAGTTTTCATTATTTTTTACATTATATAAATTAGTTGTTTACCAGTGTACAATAACAGGCAATTCATTACTGGTTTATTATTTTAATATGTTTTTAAATTATTGTGTAGGCTTATGCAAACCTGTAATAGGAAGGGGTGATAAAACCTATTTTCCCAGAAGTTAACTGTATTGATGAAATATTCTCATTGCAGATTCAGAATCTGAGTGGGCACATTTCACTGACTTTGTTCTCAGGAGGTCGCCTCAGGCCCAAGGTTCACACCACGCTGGAGGAGAGGCGGAAGGCTATCCAGAGTAGTGTCTCCCAGACATCTACTGATCAAATTAGTTTAGCAACAACGTGAGTTTTTATATGCCAGTATTCTCTGATATTTTAATAATTTGTTAGCCAAATAATAGTTAAAATTAGAAGGAAGTTTGTGAAAATGCAGCTGAGTGAAACAGTCACTACTTTTGATGATTCACCTGCATAGACAGTCAAAGTGCTCTGCAAATATCGCTACTACTACTACTACCACTTGTATGGATACTCTAAGTGGCTTCCTATGTTAGTATTACTAATAATTGTAATCTTTTATGCAAATAAAAAAGCCATTTCAGATCTTTGCAATATAAGTCTTTGTAAAGAATTTGTTGACAGATTTGGTAAACAGTTTTTTACTTTTGTATAAAAAATATATTTTATTTTTTGCATAGCTCTATGTATGGAGCACAGTTTATGGAAAGCTGCTTAGAGAATCTGAAAAAGAGAGAATAATTTGTTCCCTTCTTTGTATATCAATAGGACTCAGGCAATAATCTCTGGAGCAGTTGTGAGATTTAGAATTCTGCCTGCTAAGCTTAACCCAGTCATAAAGCCTTTAATGGACAGCATCAAAAAGGAAAAAAATGAACAGTTACAGGCAAGTATAATATTTTGATTTATGTAATTTGTGTATGATTTATAACATTCATTTTATACATGTTGAATTCACTTCATTGACACCTAACATCAGTGTCTACTAGGAACTTGAGTATGATTCATGGGGGCACACCAAATGACTTAATGGTTAATCATCATTTACTCCCATAGCATCTCCAGATAACTATTTTTACTTAACATGATTCTCAGTAGTTTTGTCAGTAGTGGATAGTGGTTTTTACTTAATTATTATGCTTCCCAACAGAGACTGGCTGCTGAGGACCTTACCAAGCTTTTGGAACAATGTATTGATCGACCAACAAGTCCAAATGGCAAAGTGGTCAAGAATCTTGCATCCTTCCTGTGCACTGATCAAGAGTTCACACCTAAGATCAAGCAACAGGTATGAATGCTTTAATTTTATTTGCAGTATCTTTTTTTTAAATTTACCCCTCAGTCTTAGATTAATATGATTAAATTATCATACAAGTGCCTTGTTACAAAATACCTTTGAAAGTTGAGTATCCATGATGACTTTTTTGGTTGATTTCTGGAATTTTGCATGTATCGTATATAAAGGGCAAGAGCTATTTAGGGTCTGACCACCTGCAAAATCTTCCTTAACTACTCATATGTGTGAAAAGGATAAGAGTTATCCCAGCTAAACTACTAGGATTTTTTTATTTGTATACCATAATTAACGAGTAATGTAAAGTGATTGACTGACTAGGATTATAAAGTTTCTCTTCTTAATATTAGTAATGTATACAAGAGAAAGGGTTACTAGCCCCTTGCTCCTGGCATTTTAGTCGCCTCTTGTATAAGCCATGCGTGTCGTAAGAGGCAACTAAAATGCCAGGAGCAAACGGATAGTAACCTCTTCTCTTGTATACATTATGTACTAAAGTTTAAAAGAGAAACTTTAGTTTTTCATTTTGAGCCACACTGCTTTGGTGGGATATGGCTGGTGTGTTGAAAGAAAAGAAAGATTATAAAAGAAAGTTTGGGCATCCATATTTCTTCATAAAGTTTCAGTGAACCATTAGGGCTAACTAATCCTACACTTTTTGTCAGTTTTTATGAAGATAATGTTTTTTGGGGAATCTGAGACTGTTAAATTAGATTTAAGAAAATGGAATTAAGATTGATTTTATTGTATATGTGACAAATCATTGAGGTTTAAACAAGGTGTGTACAGGAAAGAGAAGTCATATGTGGGAGGAGAAACATGTAACAACTAACCTACACATTGAAAATGAAAACTACATAACGTTTTGGTGTGTCTTGGACCATTATCAAGTGGGAGACCAAGAACTAGGGAGAAAGCTTATTCTTGGTGTGGTGAGGCAACCAAAGTCTGGATAAGTTGTATGTGTTATGAATATTAAAACATTTTACAATGTACTGTACAGGGTAAGCATCTACAGTAACAGTCAGGATTAAGACTCAGCATTCAGGTTCAAGATGGAATTAAAATGCCTTTTTGATTTCAATTTTAAGTGTGTGGGTTAATTGTGTATTCTAGTTATGGTATTGTAACTTATTTTCCATGGCAATTTTGTTTTTATTTCCCTTTTTTTTTTTTTTATTATTTTATTATCACACTGGCCGATTCCCACCAAGGCAGGGTGGCCCTTTTTTTTATTTTCTATAAATGGACCAAGTTTAATGAACCTTAATTAATGTATTTTCTATTGAAGAGTGTGAGCAAAGTAACATTTATGAAGGGGTTCAGGGAAACCGGCAGGCCGGACTTGAGTCCTGGAGATGGGAAGTACAGTGCCTGCACTCTGAAGGAGGGGTGTTAATGTTGCAGTTTAAAAACTGTAGTGTAAAGCACCCTTCTGGCAAGACAGTGATGGAGTGAATGATGGTGAAAGTTTTTCTTTTTCGGGCCACCCTGCCTTGGTGGGAATCGGCCAGTGTGATAATAAAAAAAAATAAAAATGTCAAGGTTCAGTCATTTAATTTTGGCTCTCAGATTGCCTATGGTTTTTGTAATGGGTTATATATTCTCCAACAAAGTTTGGAATGCAGTAACTTTATTTTGTTTTATTTTAGGACTGTGTAGCATATAGTACAGCTGACAGCAAAAAGGGTGTACTCAGCTTGTCTTCACAGTTGAAGGTGAGACTCAGAAAAATCAGTATGAACTGTTTATCTGACCTTAATTTTTTGTAATTTTCTATTATGAATGGTTGACATGTGTTGATTTACATGTACTGTGCAGCCCTTTACTCTGCGAGGATTAGGTTGCTGGAGGTGTTGTGAATCCTAAGGCCACAAATGAGAAATTTTGTATGCTCAGATTATTTATATTTTTCTTACTTATATATATTACATGTAAATCAATAAAAATATAAAATGCTATACTGTATTGTAATAATAAAAACTTACCTCTGTTAACATTGATCTGTAGAATAAAGCAAGTTCTTTTTTTTTTTTTTTTTTTGATAATTGATTCACACAACTGTCTGCCATTACCCACCTCGCTCACATTTCAGTCATTAAATGAACATTTCTCTTATTCATGCAGGTTCTCGCTCATTCTATTTATTCAGTTACACGTGTAATAAATGTGGGCAGCTTTAAAGTTTGAATTTTGTGTAAACTCGTAATAAACTACTGTATATAAATATTGGAGAAGCTTATTTTTCTGATATTCACTTTTCATATTGTCATTTGCCAGCATGCACAAAAATGGTAAAAAATTAATTTCCATTTTAAGTAATGTTATTCTTTATAAATTCCCTATAAACCTTGAATAAAAGTGATTAAAATGTTTGTCAGTCACTTGACTTTGAAACTGTTATTGCTTGCCAAATCTTGCCCATTTTGGGATTACAGCCATCTTCAGGGAGTGATTGTTATAATAAATATACTATCTTCACTGAGAGAAGTGATTTGTGTTGCAGAAGGCTGCTTTCCCTTCCCCCCATTCTCCCTATTTTTTCCCTATTCAAAAAAATAAATTACATGGAGCACATGATGTGTAGGCAAAATATCCAGATTTTTTTTTCTACACGTCGGTTGTCTCCCACTGAGGCAGGGTGACCCAAAAAGAAAGAAAATCCCCAAAAAGAAAATACTTTCATCATTCAACACTTTCACTTCACTCATACATAATCACAGTCTTTGCAGAGGCACTCAGATACAACAGTTTAGAAGTCCCTCCAAACTGCCAATATCCCAAACCCCTCCTTTAACCCATAAACGGTCCAAACGTATATATACGTTTTTTCAACATTTGAAAGTATGTAAAAAAAGAAAGTAGATCTTCTTTTTGTTTTTCTACATTTGAAAATGTGTAAAAAAACTTTGGTCTACTTTTTTTTTTTTTTTTTTTGTTATATTTGAAAATATGTAAAAAAAACTTAGATCTACTTTTGTAGCACTACACATGTGAACGTAGATCTGCTTGGACTGTTTACGGGTTACAGTGCAGGCATTGTACTTTCCATTTCCAGGACTCAAGTCCAGCTAACAGGTTTCCCTGAATCCCTTCACAAAATATTACCCTGCTCACACTCCAACAGCTCGTCAGTTCCCAAAAACCATGAGTCTCCATTCACTTCTATCTAACATGCTCATACGTGCTTGCTGAAAGTACAAACCTTTCACCCATAAAACCTCCTTTACCTCCTCCAACCTTTTCGAGGACAACCCCTACCCTGCCTTCCTTCTCCATGTCATTCTACTTTGATCCATTCTCTCTAAATGACCAAACCACCTCAACAACCCCTCTTCAGCCCTCTAATACTTTTAGTAACTCCACACCACCACCTAATTTAAACACTCCGAATTCTCTGCATAATATTTACACCACACTTGCCCTTAGACAAGACATCTCCACTGCCTCCAGCCGCCTCCTCACTGCAACATTTGCAACCCAAGCTTCACTCCTATATAAGAGTGTTAGTACCACTGTACTTTTGTACATTCCCTTCTTTGCCTCCATTAATAACGTTTTTTGTCTCCACAGATACCTCAGCGCACCGCTCACCTTTTTTCCTTCATCAGTTCTGTGGTTAACCTCATCCTTCATAAACCCATCTGCTGACAAGTCAACTCCCAAATATCTGAAAACATTTACTTCTTCCATACTCCCTCTCTCCAATGTGATATCCAATTTTTCTTTATCTAAATTGTTTGATACCCTCATCACCTTAGGCTATCTATGTTCACTTTCAACTTTCTATCTTTACACACCCTCCCCAACTCGTCTACTAACCAGATATTTACAGTAAAATGTAATGTAAAGGAATTTAATAAACGCTTGTGTGTTAGGAGTGAATGTGGACAAGTGGCCTTTCATAGACGTGCTGTTGGAGTGTGAGCAAGATAAAATTTATGAAAGGGATTTGGGGAAACCAGTTAGCCAGGCTTGAGCCCTGGAGGTGGGAAGGGCAGTATCTGCACTCTGAGGCATGCAGGGGTAGGGGAGTTGCAGTTCAGAAGGTAATCCACATTGTCTTCAGATGCCTCGCAAGACAGTGATTGAAAGATTGTCTGTGTTTTCTTCTTTGAGTCACCCTTCCTTGCCTGGGTAATGGCTGTTGAGGTAACAAAAAAGATAACAAATAATAGTAATAAGTATTATACAGCAAATTCTCACTTAACGTTGTCAATTGGTTATTGGAAACTGCACCTTTAAATGCAACAACGTACAGCCTCTCCTTACTTAGTGGCATACTCGTTTACCGACCACTCGGACTAATGACCAGCTCTCCAACGAGTATGCAAACCTAAATAATCTATGTAAGAGCTGATTTCCTCTACTGTATACTGTAATAAACATAATAAAGTACTGTATAAACATATAAAAATATACCAGAAATGTTATAAATGGTGCAATATGACATTAAAAAAATACGTATCTAAAGATGGTCGACACAAACCCACTACCAGTATAGTAGTTCCTCTCTTAATGACCAATTCGCTTACTGACCTACTCTTAGGAACGGAGGCCCATCATTGAGGAGAGGCTGTATAACGAAACCACAACTTGCTATCCATCAAGAGACCTCTTTAAAACTTTTAGTTTTGTATTAATGTTGGTAGAATTACCGTCAATATGTAAAATAAAAGGACACAAGTGCAACTAGTCACCTCATGAAATTCAACGATGCCCGACTAGTAATCAGAGAGCCAAATTTCCGCAGACATAAATGCCTTGAATCATCATTCATCGCTGTTTCTAACACAAGCAAAATAAAGGCAGGTTCATCATCTCTGAAGTATTAGCAAAAATCCTTTTCAAAACAGTAAACCCTGCCATCATATAGTCTCTGCTACACAAGAACACAGCAGAGAAGGAACACTGAAACAGACCTTCTCAGATCCAACCACCAACAGAAATACCTGTCTAACCTATTTTTGAGTTACCCAAGTAATAGCTTTTATAACCTTTTACTCATGTGCAAGTTGCTTGTTCTACCATATTATATTGCTACTACTATTGCAACTTACATTACTACTGCTACTACCACCACTAGTATTACACCTCACTCTGAGCCTATATATACCTTCTGTGTCCATGTATTGTTTGTAATGTCTTGATAAAGCTCCTGGAGAGCGAAACGTTGCCACAATAAAATGTCACATTAGTTGCACTCGTGTTCTTTTACCTTACAAGTTATAGTTTTGTTTCTAATGTTACATTTTCCTGTTTTTTGTGGCCACAGACACAGGGGGTGAACAGTGCACTTTTAGCACTCATTGCAACAGGGCTAAATCAAGGAATATAGGTTTGCAAAGTGAAAATTGTAAGGAGCACCTCCTTCCGCTACACAGTTCAAAAACAAACACGACAAATATGACGCTTTCATACCACATGGTTTATTGTTGTGCATTTGTATGATATTGTATTCTTTATGAATTTTTACTTTACAATTTGTATTCATTGTATTCATTCAGTTTTTTCTCATCTTTATAACGAAACAATGTCATTCGAGGACCTGCTGTATACAGTATGTAAAAAAATATTGGGAAGATAAAAAAACCTAATAAGAATGAGAGTGAATGTTGATACAGTTTCTCTTTAATAGATGTAAGTCTAAAGGGGATTTTATTAAGTAATAACTTTCAGTATTTATTTTAGAATGCAGAGCGTCAACTACTGCGACGTACATCATCCGTGACAGGTCGGGGACCTGGCAGACCCCCTGGCCGTCCTCCCGCCAATGCAAAGCGTGATGATCCTGCAGAGGTTACAGAAGCGATTCTAGAAAATGAGGTAAAAATAAAAATTGTTGTAGCTTGGTTTGCCTTGCCAGGTTTTTCTTGGGTGTGTAGAGTATGTGTATTTGATTTGTCTGTTAAGAATATTGTCATGCCAGAACCATTTTATTTGTTACCTAAAGAAATATATAGCAAAGTTTCAAATATAGTAATAGATGATTTGCCTGCCTCTATCCCTCTGTTGTGTGTTAAATTTTCTTAAGCTCCATACTATTGTCATTTCTGTTATTACAGGTATTACTGTGCAGTATTACTTTCACTTTGCCATCATTTCCTTTACAAATACTGTATACTGTGTTTTTCTGAAAGGTGTCTTAGACCATAATTTTTTGGTAAATATTTCACATTTTACAATGATATAAGACAATATTTGAGATGGTTTATACAGGGCCTTTCATTGGGCATTGGATATGGAGTAGAGGAATTTATTTTAAAATATACATGGTGGGATGTTTTTATAGATTCAAACTAAGTGATAATTTACTTTCTTCAGAATCAACAGTTGGCAGAGATTCAAAGACGTGGTTGTACAGTTGCCCTACAGTGTATTGCTCATTACTTTGGGGAGGACTTACCTCAAAAAGTACCTCAAATCTGGGAGTTGATCTGCAGCCCTTTCAGCTGTCCTGAAGGTGAGCCAACAGTAGAGATGGCTCAAGAGGCTGTCAATAGGATGCAACTCCTGGAGGTGGTAGTGCCAGCTCTTCATCCCAGGATAGTCGCTCAGGTTGGTTTTAATTTGCTTGCAAACATATTCTTACACACTAGGTTACTTGATTCAGAAACTGTTCAAGTCTGTTGGCTACTAAATTGCCCATTATTACAATCACAGCGAGATGGTCCTGTCTGTCTACCAAACTCTCCATTACTGGCTTCTACTAAATCAAGGTTTTACTGTAGTATTTTATATTTATTTAGCACATGTTGAACCCTTAACTATTAAAAATAAAAATGAATGCATACAGTCCAAATAAGTGCATCTAAACTGGTACCAGAGTTAGTAGGTTTTGAAGAAAGAATGCAAAAGCTTAACTTTAAGTCAGTGAAGTATAGAAGAAATTGAAGAGGTGTGATCAAAGCAAAAAATAATCAAGGTATAGACAGGCATTTTTTTTTTTTTTCTTCTTTTTGTCAGAAATAAAACGAGGCAGGTGTTTCTTTTTTTTTGGGTCACCCTGTCTCGGTGCAAGACGGCTGGTGTATTCCTTACACATTTTTTTGGCATAAGTACGGTAAAGAAATGGAATTAATTAAACAATGACACTGGAAATAGTCTTCTTGTAAGAGTTCCTAGAGAGAGATAAGTTACTTCATGCATTATGTACTGGCTGTTTTCAACAAGGAAGGGTGATCAAAAGCAAACAATCATTTATCCTAAATCTTGTTTTTTTTATTGCTATTATTGCATTGATTTAGTTTATAAATTTCAGCTGGAAGCAAAGCTTCCCTTGTTAGACCACTGGCTATACCACCCCTACTGTGCTGTCCGACACATGGCCACCAGAGTGATGGGAGCTTTGTCTTGTGTCCTTACTGTGCCAACCATGACCCATGTAGTGGAAAATATTGTACCTGCCCTTGGAGCCATTGATGATGACAGTAAGAGGCAAGGAGCAGCAGAGTGCATTTTTGCTGTTATTGATCGACTGGGATTTAATGTTGTGCCTTACATAGTCCTCCTTATTGTGCCTTTATTAGGTTAGTAATGCCTCTTGCATGATATTATATTGATGTATTATGTTGGCATTAATGGTATTTTCAGTAAACAAGTTTGGATATTTGGAAGAGAAAAGTATACAGTTGTAACTGCAAGAAATAAAATTAGATAGAGTATTGCTGTTAACAGTGATTATGTATGAATGAGGTGAAAGTGTTGAATGATGACAAAAGTATTTTCTTTTGGGGGTTTTCTTTCTTTTTGGGTCACCCTGCCTCGGTGGGAGACAGCCAACTTGTTGAAAAAAAAAAAATTCTGTTACAGACTTCAGTATCATTACTTAATTTTATATGCTAATTTAGCACTCTATGCAGACTGATTTCTTTGTATTAGGTCGAATGAGTGATCAAGACAGCAGTGTTCGTCTCATGGCCACACACTGCTTTGCAACACTGATCCGACTCCTGCCTCTGGAAGGTGGTGTTCCAGATCCTCCTAACCTGAATGAGGGATTGTTGAAGCAGAAGATTAGAGAGAGAGAGTTCCTAGAGAAGCTTCTTGATCCAACAAAAATTGAAAATTACAAAATTCCTGTGCCAATCAATGCCGAGCTAAGATCATATCAACAGGTGCGTGAAATCGGTGAAAGGATTAACTTTTTGAGGTTCACTGATTCATTATTTATGCATTTAAAATTATATCGTAGGTGAAATTAATCTCTGGTTAAATCTTGCTTGCAATTTGACATGGTTCCACTTGAACTTGGAAAGAACTTTCATATGTTGTAGTCATTCTCCAACATAGATAAAAAATTGGGTATCATATTGCAGGGAGGGAGTATGAAGAAAGTATTGTTGGGATATTTGGGAGGGAACATGTGGCAGATTGGTGTGTGAAAGATGAGGGAGGTGGGGGAGGGATGGAAGGCGAGTGGTGCATCGAAGCATTTCTGAAGACAGAAAACCTTATCCATGTAGGCAAGAAAAACGAAAATCACTAGTTAGCAGTACCACCACTGCTATGGTGGTGTGAAGCATGGTTTTTAAATATTGCAGCAAGGAGGAGGCTAGAGGCAGTGTGTGGTGTGAATATTATGTAGATAATTTTGTTTTGAAGACTAGATGTGGGGGTTACTAAAGATATTATTCTGAGGGTTGAGATGGTAAGGGCATTTAAAGAGGATGGAACAAAATAGGACGACTAGGAGTGTGGAGAAATATTAGGATGGCTAGGAGGGTATATGAATCTTGGTTGAAGGAAAGAAAGGGTAGGGAGTAATCCAAAGAAAGGATAGAGGGAGTGGGTAAAAGAACTTTTGAGCACATTAGTTGGGAGTGAGTGAAGCAAATAGTTTTATGAATTGACATGCTGTTGGAATGTGAAGAGGGTAGCATTTAGGAAGGGATTCAAAGGAAACCAGGTAACCAGATTTAGTTCTGAAGGTAGAAAGTACAATCCCTGCACTCTGAAGAAAGTGTGGGATGTTACAGTTTGAAGGTCCATCAGAACTGCAATGTCAACACGTTTCTGGCAAGACAGTGATTGAATGAGTGATGGTGAAAGTTCTTTCTTTTATGAGTCGCCCTTTCGCAGTCAGAGACAGCCATTTAAAAAAAGTTTTCTACATGGTATTTCTGGATGTTTCTTACAATATTTGTAAACTTTTATTTCTTTTGATGATGATGATGATGTTCTCTAGTATGGCTGGCCCAGGTCTCTTCCAATTGGTGACCTGGCATATTTCTTTTTTGTTGGACATTCTCAGTGTTCACCAGACTGGCTCATGATGTCTCTGTGGCATTATTCCTATATATGGTGTTTAATTATATTTTATTATGTACATGTAATTTAAATTTATGATGCTTCAGCAGATTGGTAATGTAGATGAAGATTTTTAACTATTAAAGTACAGTATTTTGTATTCAAATTATTAATATTGATCAATTTTGGAAACACATGTTGGGGTTTTTCTTTCTTTTTGGGTCACCCTGCCTCAGTGGGAAACAGCAGACGTGTTAAAAAAAAAAAAAGTTGCAAAAAAATTTTGTATGATATTTAACCCAACTTTTCTGTGAAATGATTGTATGTACCTAGACTTCTACTTCTATCATATTTAGAGGCAGCCATTGCAATTTTATCTAAATTCTTCATCTCCCTGAAGCCTACTGTATTATAGTGAACATAAGTGTTTTAAGTATTTGAGAGCACCTCACAAGTATGTGCTATCTATTTAAAAGTAAAAATATTACAGAATGGTGTGAACTGGTTGGCATTTTTGAATCGATACAAGCTCCATGGTATACTTTGTGATGACATGGGTCTTGGGAAGACTCTTCAGTCCATATGCATTCTTGCTGGCGATCATTACACAAAAGAGCTACAACAGAAAGTAAGTTAATCTTCTGGGCAAAATAATGCATTTTATATCTATAATTATAGGGGGATAAGTCTGTTGAGTGTACCTGGTAAAGTGTATGGTAGAGTTATAATTGAAAGAATTAAGAGTAAGACGGAGAATAGGATAGCAGATGAACAAGGAGGCTTTAGGAAAGGTAGGGGGTGTGTGGACCAGGTGTTTACAGTGAAACATATAAGTGAACAGTATTTAGATAAGGCTAAAGAGGTCTTTGTGGCATTTATGGATTTGGAAAAGGCGTATGACAGGGTGGATAGGGGGGCAATGTGGCAGATGTTGCAAGTGTATGGTGTAGGAGGTAGGTTACTGAAAGCAGTGAAGAGTTTTTTACGAGGATAGTGAGGCTCAAGTTAGAGTATGTAGGAAAGAGGGAAATTTTTTCCCAGTAAAAGTAGGCCTTAGACAAGGATGTGTGATGTCACCGTGGTTGTTTAATATATTTATAGATGGGGTTGTAAGAGAAGTAAATGCGAGGGTCTTGGCAAGAGGTGTGGAGTTAAAAGATAAAGAATTACACACAAAGTGGGAGTTGTCACAGCTGCTCTTTGCTGATGACACTGTGCTCTTGGGAGATTCTGAAGAGAAGTTGCAGAGATTGGTGGATGAATTTGGTAGGGTGTGCAAAAGAAGAAAATTAAAGTGAATACAGGAAAGAGTAAGGTTATGAGGATAACAAAAAGATTAGGTGATGAAAGATTGAATATCAGATTGGAGGGAGAGAGTATGGAGGAGGTGAACGTATTCAGATATTTGGGAGTGGACGTGTCAGCGGATGGGTCTATGAAAGATGAGGTGAATCATAGAATTGATGAGGGAAAAAGAGTGAGTGGTGCACTTAGGAGTCTGTGGAGACAAAGAACTTTGTCCTTGGAGGCAAAGAGGGGAATGTATGAGAGTATAGTTTTACCAACGCTCTTATATGGGTGTGAAGCGTGGGTGATGAATGTTGCAGCGAGGAGAAGGCTGGAGGCAGTGGAGATGTCATGTCTGAGGGCAATGTGTGATGTGAATATAATGCAGAGAATTCGTAGTTTGGAAGTTAGGAGGAGGTGCAGGATTACCAAAACTGTTGTCCAGAGGGCTGAGGAAGGGTTGTTGAGGTGGTTCGGACATGTAGAGAGAATGGAGCGAAACAGAATGACTTCGAGTGTATCAGTCTGTAGTGGAAGGAAGGCGGGGTAGGGGTCGGCCTAGGAAAGGTTGGAGAGAGGGGGTAAAGGAGGTTTTGTGTGCGAGGGGCTTGGACTTCCAGCAGGCATGCGTGAGCGTGTTTGATAGGAGTGAATGGAGACAAATGGTTTTTAATACTTGACGTGCTGTTGGAGTGTGAGCAAAGTAACATTTATGAAGGGGTTCAGGGAAACCGGCAGGCCGGACTTGCGTCCTGGAGATGGGAAGTACAGTGCCTGCACTCTGAAGGAGGGGTGTTAATGTTGCAGTTTAAAAACTGTAGTGTAAAGCACCCTTCTGGCAAGACAGTGATGGAGTGAATGATGGTGAAAGTTTTTCTTTTTCGGGCCACCCTGCCTTGGTGGGAATCGGCCAGTGTGATAATAAAAAATAAAAATCTATAATAGATTTTTGCTACCCAGAAATACAGCCTATAAAGATTGCTTCACACTGGCACTATCATGAACCTGCCTGATCCATTAATCTTTTTTGCCAAGTGTTGTGCCTTTTGAGCTTATGATATTCATTTGACAATTACTTTTATATTTTTCTATCTTCATTTCCTTTATAATCATTGTACATTCATCCATAGTTCAACCCTCTTTACCTCTTAATTTTTCTAGCATTTCTAGTAGTCATCTCAGTGATATTTTAGAAGTGTCAGATTTGCTGGAAATAGAACATGAAAATAGGTGTATAAAAGTAGACTGTAATTTGAAATGAGAATTGTAAGTAACTTATCATTTTACCACCTCATTTCTTTGCTTAGAGAGATGCCCCAGCTTCCTGTATACCCAGCCTGTTTACTTTAACTTCTTGCAAAAATTCTAAAAAATTCCTGTTTAATGTTATCTATAGGTTGGCAACTCTCCTGAACGTTGTATCTCTGATTATTTGCATATTTTTGGCTTTCTTTGGCTATTGTATCGTAAAATCATAAACCCCTTTCTTATCCTTTCTTGAACTAATTAAAAATGGTTTTTAATTTTTCAAAACTAAATTTCAGAAGTCTGGTTGCAAAAATAGCACCTTACAGTCACTTGTGGTGTGCCCGCCCACCCTAACAGGACACTGGGTGTATGAAGTTGAAAAGTTTGTAAAAACCAAATATTTGAATCCTCTCCATTACACTGGCCCTCCAAATGAGAGATACAGGTTGGTTTAAAAAAATTATCTTTGGGTTAGAGGTTGTTTAACGTGCACAAATTCATATAACATGATCACCTGAACTTCCAGGCATTATATAACTTGTATAGTATTTCTTTAAATTTATAGTCTACGTTTGAATTCTTCAAATATTTTTGCAGGCTGCGATGCTTCTTTCCTGATCATAACTTGATTGTTGCTTCGTATGATATTGTCCGAAACGATATAGACTACTTCTCGCAAATTAGATGGAATTATGTAATATTGGATGAAGGGCACATTATCAAGAATGGAAAAACAAAGGTATAGTCTTTCTCAGTTTCATATAGTTTTGCTTTCTAGTTTTCTTTAATTATAATTTTACATTTTATGATACTGCACATCAATTTTAAAGCGTAGTTCTTATAAACAGTACATTAATTAAGGTTTATATAGTTTACCGAATATGATTTATTTATAAATCTTAAGATCACAAGCTACTTCTAAGTTTCCATCTTTTTCAACAGTCATGTAGAGCCATCAAACAACTTGTAGCTCACCATCGTTTGATTCTATCCGGCACTCCTATTCAAAATAATGTCTTGGAGTTATGGTCACTCTTTGACTTCCTTATGCCTGGCTTTTTGGGCACTGAACGTCAATTTATGGCACGTTACTCCAAGCCAATCCTGCAGTCTCGTGATGCCAAGAGCTCTAGTAAAGAGCAAGAGGCTGGGGTTTTAGCCATGGAAGCCCTACATCGTCAGGCACTTCCGTTCCTGCTTCGAAGAGTAAAAGAGGATGTATTGAATGATTTACCTCCCAAGATTACACAGGCAAGTCTCAAAAGTTCTCAGCAGTATAAATATTAAGCGAGGAATAAATGGGATTAGGTCAGGGGTTTCAAATAGAGTTAGAGCTAAAGAAGGAGTAGCAATAATGTTGAAGGATAAGCTATGGCAGGAAAAGAGGGACTATAAATGTATTAATTCAAGGATTATGTGGAGTAAAATAAAGATTGGATGTGAAAAGTGGGTTATAGTAAGCGTGTATGCACCTGGAGAAGAGAGAAGTGTAGAGGAGAGAGAGAGATTTTGGGAAATGTTGAGTGAATGCATGGGGAGTTTTGAATCAAGTGTGAGAGTAATGGTGGTTGGGGATTTCAATGCTAAAGTGGGTAAAAATGTTATAGAGAGGAGTAGTAGGTAAATTTGGGGTGCCAGGGGTAAATGTAAATGGGGAGCCTTTAATTGAGCTATGTGTAGAAAGAGATTTGGTAATAAGTAATACATATTTTTTTGAAAAAGAGGATAAATAAATATACAAGGTATGATGTAGCACGTAATGAAAGTAGTTTATTAGATTATGTATTGGTGGATAAAAAGGGTTGATGGGTAGGCTCCAGGATGTACATGTTTATAGAGGGGCAACTGATATATCGGATCGTTATTTAGTTGTAGCTACAGTTAGAGTAAGAGGTAGATGGGAAAAGAGGAAGGTGGCAACAACAAGTAAGAGGGAGGTGAAAGTGTATAAACTAAGGGAGGAGGAAGTTCGGGTGAGATATAAGTGACTATTGGCAGAAAGGTGGGCTAGTGCAAAGATGAGTAATGGGGGGGGGGGGGGTTTGAAGAGGGTTGGAATAGTTTTAAAAATGCAGTATTAGAATGTGGGGCAGAAGTTTGTGGTTATAGGAGGGTGGGGGCAGGAGGAAAGAGGAGTGATTGGTGGAATGATGAAGTAAAGGGTGTGATAAAAGAGAAAAAGGTAGCTTATGAGAGGTTTTTACAAAGCAGAAGTGTTATAAGAAGAGCAGAGTATATGGAAACTAAAAGAAAGGTAAAGAGAGTGGTGAGAGAGTGCAAAAGGAGAGCAGATGATAGAGTGGGAGAGGCACTGTCAAGAAATTTTAATGAAAATAAGAAAAAATTTTGGAGTGAGTTAAACAAGTTAAGAAAGCCTCTTGAAAGTATGGATTTGTCAGTTAAAAACAGAGTAGGGGAGTTAGTAGATGGGGAGATGGAGGTATTAGGTAGATGGCGAGAATATTTTGAGGAACTTGTAAATGTTAAGGAAGAAAGAGAGGCAGTAATTTCATGCACTGGTCAGGGAGGTATACCATCTTTTAGGAGTGAAGAAGAGCAGAATGTAAGTGTGGAGGAGGTACGTGAGGCATTACGTAGAATGAAAGGGGGTAAAGCAGCTGGAACTGATGGGATCATGACGGAAATGTTAAAAACAGGGGGGGATATAGTGTTGGAGTGGTTGGTACTTTTGTTTAATAAATGTATGAAAGAGGGGAAGGTACCTAGGGATTGGTGGAGAGCATGTATAGTCCCTTTATATAAAGGGAAAGGGGACAAAAGAGACTGTAAAAATTATAGAGGAATAAGTTTACTGAGTATACCAGGAAAAGTGTACGGTAGGGTTATAATTGAAAGAATTAGAGGTAAGACAGAATGTAGGATTGCGGATGAGCAAGGAGGTTTCAGAGTGGGCAGGGGATGTGTAGATCGAGTGTTTACATTGAAGCATATATGTGAACAGTATTTAGATAAAGGTAGGGAAGTTTTTATTGCATTTATGGATTTAGAAAAGGCATATGATAGAGTGGATAGAGGAGCAATGCAGCAGATGTTGCAAGTATATGGAATAGGTGGTAAGTTATTAAATGCTGTAAAGAGTTTTTATGAGGATAGTGAGGCTCAGGTTAGGGTGTATAGAAGAGAGGGAGACTACTTCCCGGTAAAAGTAGGTCTTAGACAGGGATGTGTAATGTCACCATGGTTGTTTAATAGATTTATAGATGGGGTTGTGAAGGAAGTAAATGTTAGGGTGTTCGGGAGAGGGGTGGGATTAAATTTTGGGGAATCAAATTCAAAATGGGAATTGACAGTTACGTTTTGCTGATGATACTGTGCTTATGGGAGATTCTAAAGAAAAATTGCAAAGGTTAGTGGATGAGTTTGAGAATGTGTGTAAAGGTAGAAAGTTGAAAGTGAACATAGAAAAGAGTAAGGTGATGAGGGTATCAAATGATTTAGATAAAGAAAAATTGGATATCAAATTGGGGAGGAGGAGTATGGAAGAAGTGAATGTTTTCAGATACTTGGGAGTTGACGTGTCGGTGCATGGATTTATGAAGGATGAGGTTAATCATAGAATTGATGAGGGAAAAAAGGTGAGTGGTGCGTTGAGGTATATGTGGAGTCAAAAAACGTTATCTATGGAGGTAAAAAAGAGAATGTATGAAAGTATAGTAGTACCAACACTCTTATATGGGTGTGAAGCTTGGGTGGTAAATGCAGCAGCGAGGAGACGGTTGGAGGCAGTGGAGATGTCCTGTTTAAGGGCAATGTGTGGTGTAAATATTATGCAGAAAATTTGGAGTGTGGAAATTAGGAGAAGGTGTGGAGTTAATAAAAGTATTAGTCAGAGGGCAGAAGAGGGGTTGTTGAGGTGGTTTGGTCATTTAGAGAGAATGGATCAAAGTAGAATGACATGGAAAGCATATAAATCTATAGGGGAAGGAAGGCGGGGTAGGGGTCGTCCTCGAAAGGGTTGGAGAGAGGGGGTTAAGGAAGTTTTGTGGGCAAGGGGCTTGGACTTCCAGCAAGCGTGCGTGAGCGCGTTAGATAGGAGTGAATGGAGACGAATGGTACTTGGGACCTGACGATTTGTTGGAGTGTGAGCAGGGTAATATTTAGTGAAGGGATTCAGGTGTAAATGATAATGGGAGCCCTTTGATTGAACTTTGTATAGAAAGGGGTTTAGTTATAGGTAATACATATTTTAAGAAAAAGAGGATAAATAAGTATACTAGATATGATGTGGGGCGAAATGACAGTAGTTTGTTGGATTATGTATTGGTAGATAAAAGACTGTTGAGTAGACTTCAGGATGTACATGTTTATAGAGGGGCCACAGATATATCAGATCACTTTCTAGTTGTAGCTACACTGAGAGTAAAAGGTAGATGGAGTACAAGGAGACTAGAAGCATCAGGGAAGAGAGAGGTGAAGGTTTATAAACTAAAAGAGGAGGCAGTTAGGGTAAGATATAAACAGCTATTGGAGGATAGATGGGCTAATGAGAGCATAGGCAATGGGGTCGAAGAGGTATGGGGTAGGTTTAAAATGTAGTGTTAGAGTGTTCAGCAGAAGTTTGTGGTTACAGGAAAGTGGGGTGCGGGAGGGAAAAGGAGCGATTGGTGGAATGATGATGTAAAGAGAGCAGTAAGGGAGAAAAAGTTAGCATATGAGAAGTTTTTACAAAGTAGAAGTGATGCAAGGAGGGAAGAGTATATGGAGAAAAAGAGAGAGGTTAAGAGAGTGGTGAAGCAATGTTAAAAAGAGAGCAAATGAGAGAGTGGGTGAGATGTTATCAACAAATTTTGTTGAAAATAAGAAAAAGTTTTGGAGTGAGATTAACAAGTTAAGGAAGCCAAGAGAACAAATGGATTTGTCAGTTAAAAATAGAAGAGGAGAGTTATTAAATGGAGAGTTAGAGGTATTGGGAAGATTGAGGGAATATTTTGAGGAATTGTTAAATGTTGATGAAGATAGGGAAGCTGTGATTTCGTGTATAGGGCAAGGAGGAATAACATCTTGTAGGAGTGAGGAAGAGCCAGTTGTGGGTGTGGGGGAAGTTCGTGAGGCAGTAGGTAAAATGAAAGGGGTAAGGCAGCCGGGATTGATGGGATAAAGATAGAAATGTTAAAAGCAGATGGGGATATAGTTTTGGAGTGGTTGGTGCAATTATTTAATAAATGTATGGAAGAGGGTAAGGTACCTAGGGTTTGGCAGAGAGCATGCATAGTTCCTTTGTATAAAGGCAAAGGGGACAAAAGAGACTGTAAAAATTATAGGGAATAAGTTTACTGAGTATACCAGGAAAATGTACGGGAGGGTTATAATTGAAAAATTAGAGGTAAAAACAGAATGTAGGGTTGCGGAAAAGGAAACAAAGGGGGTTTTAGGTGGGGCCCCGGGGGGGGTAGATCAGTGTTTTACATTAAAGCATATATTTTGAACAGTATTTAGATAAAAGGGAGGGAAGTTTTTTTTGCATTTATGGATTTTGAAAAAGGGTATGTAGAGTGGATAGAGGAGCAAGCAGCAGAAGTTTGAAAATATATGGGGAAAAAGGGGGGTTAAAATTTAAATGCTGTAAAGATTTTTTATAGGATTGTGGGGGTCAGGTTAGGGTGTTTTTAGAAAAAGAGGAGACTACTTTCCCCGGGAAAAGTAAAGGGCCCTTTGGGCGGGGGTTTTTGTAATTCACCCCTGGTTGTTTAATAGATTTTTAAATTTGGGGTTTTGAAGGAAGTTTTAAAGGGTTTGGGGTTTTGGGGGGGGTGGGATTAAATTTTTGGGGGAAACAAATTTAAAAAAGGGAATTTACAGTTACGTTTTTTCTGATGATTTCTGTGTTAAAGGGAGATTCTAAAAAAAAAAATTGGGAAAGGTTAGTTTGGGTGAGTTTTAGAATGTGTGTAAAGGTAAAAGTTGAAAGTGAACATGAAAAGATTTAAGGGGGAAGAGGGGATCAAAAGATTTAGATAAAGAAAAATTGGATATCAAAATTGGGGGGGGGGGAGGATTTTGGAAGAAGTGAATGTTTTTTAGTACTTTTGGGGGTTTTACGTGCGGTGCATGGAATTTTTGAAGGGTGAGGTTAATCATAGAATTGAAAGGGGGGAAAAAAAGGGGAGGGGGTGCGTTGAGGTATATTTTGGGGTCAAAAAAAAGTTTTTCTATTTGGGGGTAAAAAAGGGGAATGAAAGAAAGTATGGGAGTACCAACACTTTATATGGGTTGAAGCTTTGGGGGGTAAATGCAGACGGGGGGGAACGGGGTTGGAGGAGTGGAGATTTTCCTGTTTAAGGGGAATGTGTGGTGTAAATATTATTTCAGAAAAATTTGGAGGGTGGGAAAATTTGGAGAAGGTGTGGAGTTAATAAAAATATTAGCAGAGGGCAAAAAAAGAGGGGTTGTTTTGGGGGGTTTGGTCCCTTTTTGGGGAGGGAAAGGATCAAGTAGAATGACATGGAAAACATATTAAAACTATAGGGGGAAGGGAAGGGGGGGTAGGGGGTCCTCGAAAGGGGTTGGGAGAGGGGGGTTAAGGAAGTTTTGTGGGCAAGGGGCTTGGACCCTTTCCCGCCCAAACGTGCGTGAGCGGTTAGATAAGTGAATGGGGACGAATGGTACTTGGGGGCCTGACATTTGTTGGAGTGTTTAGCAAAGGGGAATATTTAGTGAAAGGGGTTCAGGTGTTAAAAAGATTTAATTTGGGGCCCCTTTGGGTTGAACTTTGTATAGAAAAGGGGTTTTGTTATAGGTAATAATATTTTAAAAAAAGAGGGTAAATAAGTATACTAGATATGAATTTTGGGGGGAAATGAAAAGTAGTTTGTTTGGGTTATGTATTTGGGAGAAAAAAAGCTGTTGAGTTTAATTCAGGGTGTAACATGTTTATGAGGGGGCCAAAGATATATCAGATCACTTCTAGTTTTTAAACTACACTGAGAGTAAAAGGTAGATGGGTACAAAGGGGACTAGAAGCCTTAGGGGAAAAAGGGGAGGGGAAGGGTTTTTAAAATAAAAGAGGAGGCAGTTAGGGTAAAATATAAAGCCTATTTTGGGGGATAATGGGCAATGAGACATAGGCAATGGGGCGAAGAGGTATGGGGGAGGGGTTTAAAAAAAGTAGTGTTTTGATTTTCAGCAAAGTTTGGGGGTTAAAGAAAGTGGGTGCGGGGGGGAAAAGGAAGGGGATTGGGGGGAAATGAAAGGTTAAAAAAGAGCAGTTTAAAGGGGGAAAAAGGGTTTGCATATGGGAAAATTTTTTTCAAAGTAGAAGTTAAAAAAAAAGGGGGGAAGGTTTTGGAGAAAAAAAAAAGGTTAAGGAGTGGTGAAAACAATGTAAAAAGAGAGCAAATTTAGAGGGGTGGGTGGGGTGTTCAACCCAAATTTTTTTGAAAAAAGAAAAAGTTTTGGAGTGAGATTAACAATTTTAAAGGAAACCCAAAAGAACAAAAGGTTTTTTCAGTTAAAAATAGAAGAGGAGAGTAACATATGCAGGAGAAAGGGTTACTAGCCTCTTGCTCCCAGCATTTTAGTCACCTCTCACGACATGCATGGCTTACGGAGGAAGAATTCTGTTCCACTTCCCCATGGAGATAAGAGGAAATAAACAAGGACAAGAATTAGTAAGAACAGTAAAAGAAAATTTAGGTAGTAGGTTGGTAGACAGCAACCGCCCAGGGAGGTACTACCGTCCTACCAAGTGAGTGTAAAACGAAATCCTGTAATTGTTTTACATGATGGTAGGATTGCTGGTGTCCTTTTTTCCTGTCTCATAAACATGCAAGATTTCAGGTACATCTTGCTACTTCTATTTACACTTAGGTCACACTGCACATACATGTACAAGCATATATATACATACCCCTCAGGGTTTTCTTCTATTTTCTTTCTAGCTCTTGTTCTTGTTTATTTCCTCTTATCTCCATGGGGAAGTGGAACAGAATTCTTCCTCTGTAAGCTATGCGTGTCGTAAGAGACGACTAAAATGCCTGGGAACAAGGGGCTAGTAACCCCTTATCCTGTATATATTACTAAATTTAAAAGGAGAAACTGTTGTTTTTCCTTTTGGGCCACCCCACCTCAGTGGGATAAGGCTGGTGTGTCGAAAGAAAGAAAGATCAAGTCATAAAAACCACTTGCCTCCACTTACTCCTATTTAACACTCACACACGCCTGTTTGGTTTATCTTGCTTGATGTTTTTTTAATCTATAGGTAGTTACCAAACAGCTGTTTGGAGTGACATCTAAACTGTCGTACCTGAGTACCTCTGCGAAGACAGTGATTGTGTGTGAATGACAGTGGAAGTGTTTCTTTTTGCGTCACCCTGCCTCGGTGGGAGACGGCTGACATTAAAAAAATATTAAATTTTCCTACTCTTTTGATATACCTTTGAAGACTTTCGAGAGTTCATCTACTCTCTGAGCCTGGCCATGGGCCAGGCTCATCACTCATTGTAATTAACATTACTGCACTGGTATTTTCAGGACTATTATTGTGAATTAAGTTCACTGCAAGAGGAACTGTATGAAGATTTTGCCCGTACACAAGCCAGTCAAAATATCAATGATTCTCTTCGAAATTCAGACCAAGGAAAAGATGAGCAAGCACCAAGACCACATTGCCATATATTCCAGGTAAGTTGCAATTTCATATAGTGCATTCCATCATTTATAACATTAGAATGAAATAAGCTTGTTGGGCTTTTCGTATTACTGTATCTCCATTATCTGCAATTCATACTAATAGACAGTGCATCCTTATGGATATTTTCTTATTTTATGTTGAGTGAGTGCATGTGGAGTTTTGAACCAAGTGTGAGAGTACTTGTGGTTGGGGATCTCAGTGTTAAAGTGGGTAAAAATGTTGTAGAGGAAGTACATGTAGTAGGTAAATTTGGGGTGCCAGGGGTAAATGAAAATGGGCAGCCTGTAATTGAACTCTGTGTAGAAAGAGGTTTGGTAATAAGTAATACATATTTTATGAAAGAGGAAAAATAAGTAATACATATTTTATGAAAGAGGAAAAATAAGTATTCAAGATATGATATAGCACATAATGAAAGTACAGTGGACCTCATTTTTCGTAATTAATCCATTCCAGAGAGTGTGACTAATGGTGAAATTGATGATTTGCGAAACCATTTTCCCCATAAGAAATAATGTAAATCCAATTAATCCATTCCAGACCAAAAGTATTGACAAAAAAAAAAATTTTTTTTACATGAAATATAGATTTACATACACAAGAAACAATAAGACATGAAGAATAAAACAATAACAACATCACACTTACTTTTATTGAAGACTCTTGTTGATGTATGAATAAAATGAGTCATTATGTATGTTAGGAATTGTGGTGGCAGCAGGGGAGTGTGTTTGGAGACAGGAGAAGATAGTCCTTCAATATGACACTAATATAAACTCTACGGCTTATTTATCTATCACATTTCATCTAATATGACGTAATAAACAATATTAATAACATAGAAACATGACATATACTCTAGAATGAATAAAATATGTCATTATGTATGTCATGAGTGGTGTTTTGTTGTTAGGTGTATAAGGGCCGCTGAAAGCATAAGCTTTACATAGTGGTGGTGAAGGCAGCAGCAGAGGCGATGTTCTCAGTAGCCCTATATACCTCCAATAACATTGGAGGAGTTAGTTTTGTGCTGTCCTTTCTCTATCGATTAATCGCTTAACTTACTTGCTACACTGTTAATACTACACTTTATTGCTGGCTGGTGCTATAGCCTTTGTCAGCTTGTGCTGCTTTAGTATCGTAACTATCATACTCACTGAAGAAGGCACATTCTTCCCTTTCTCTTCCTCCTCCACTCTGGTACTTTGCTACGAGTTCCTTCTTGAATTCTATTGTGTTTTTCACCTTCTTTACCAAAGGGCTGGCACTAGAAGCTTTCTTTGGGTGCATGGTGGCTTATTTAGCAGTTGCAAGCACTGAAACAAATGGAATATTATGAAATGTATCGTATGAGCGCACGGAATCATGTTCATTCGCTGATAAACAGTGGCACACTGACTGTGAATGGTGTGGGGGACTGCTCGTATGCGTCTGGGATGAATGACTATTTGGGAGTCAAACGATGATTTGCGAGTCAGTATTTTGACGATGCTTACGAAAAACGAGGGTCCACTGTAGTTGATAGGTAGGCTTCAGGATGTACACGTTTTTTAGAGGGGCAACGGATATATCAGATCATTATCTAGTTGTAGCTACAGTTAGAGTAAGAGGTAGATGGGACAAAAGGAAAATGGCAACAGTAAGTAAGAGAAAGGGGAAAGTTTATAAACTCTGGAAGGAGGAAGTTAGGATAAGATATAAACAACTATTGCCAGAAAGGTGGGCAAGTATGGGTAGTGGGGGGGGGTGGAGGAGAGGTTTAAGTGGGATGGGATAGTTTTAAAAAAGTAGTATTAGAATGTGGGGCAGAAGTTTGTGGCTATAGGAGGGTGGGTGCAGGAGGAAAGAGGAGTGATTGGTGGAAAGATGTGGAAAAGGGTGTGATAAAAGAGAAAAAGGTAGCTTATGAGAGGTTTTTACAAAGCAGAAGTGGTATAAGAAGGGCAGAGTATATGGAGAGTAAAAGAAAGGTGAAGAGAGTGGTGAGAGAGTGCAAAAGATCAAATGATAGTGGAAGAGGCACTGTCAAGAAATTTTGCTGAGAATAAGAAAAAAACTTTGGAATGAGATAAAAAAGCTAAGAAAGCTTAGGGAACAAATGGATTTGTCAGTTAAAAACAGAATAGGGGAGTTAGCAGACGGGGAGCTGGAGGTATTGGGTAGATGGCAGGAATATTTTGAGGAACTTTTAAATGTTGATGAAGAAAGGGAGGCAGTAATTTCATGCACTGGCCAGGGAGGTATAACATCTTTTAGGAGTGAAGAAGAGCAGGATGTGAGTGTGGGGGAGGTGCATTAGGCATTACATAGAATGAAAGGGTAAAGCACTGCTGTAACTGATGGGATCATGACAGAAATGTTAAAAGCAGGGAGAGATAGTGTTGGAGTGGTTGGTATTTTTGTTTAATGTATGAAAGAGGGGAAGGTACCTAGGGATTGGCAGAGAGCGTGTATAATTATTATGCAGAGAATTCGTAGTGTGGAAGTTAGGAGGTGTTGGGTTACTAAAAGTATTAGTCAGAGGGCTGAAGAGGGGCTGTTGAGGTGGTTTGATCATTTAGAGAGAATGGAACAAAGTAGAATGACTTGGAGAGCGTATAAATCTGTAGGGGAAGGAAGGTGGTCTAGGGGTCATCCTCGAAAAGGTTGGAGGGAGGGGATAAAGGAGGTTTTGTGGGCGAGGGGCTTGGACTTCAAGAGTGTGAGTGAGCATGTTAGATAGGAGTGAATGAAGACAAATGGTTTTTGGAACCTGACAAGCTGTTGGAGCGTGAGCAGGGTAATATTTTGTGAAGGGATTCAGGGAAACTGGTTAGCCGGACTTGAGTCCTGGAAATGGGAAGTAAAATGCCTGCACTTTAACCCTTAAACTGTCCAAACAGATCTATGTTCACATGCGTAGTGCTCCAAAAGTAGATCTACTTTTTTTACATATTTTCAAATATAACAAAAAAATGTAGATCAAAGTTTTTTTACACGTTTTCAAATGTAAAAAAACAAAAAGAAGATTTACGTTTTTTTACATAATTTCAAATGTTGAAAAAATGGAGATCTACGTTTAGACAGTTTAAGGGTTAAAGGAGGGGTTTGGGATATTGGCAATTTGGAGGGACTTCTAAACTGTCGTATCTGAGCGCCTCTGCAAAGACAGTGATTATGTATGAGTGATAATGAAAGTGTTGAATAATGATGAAACTTTCTACATCTGTCAAACTTCCCTTCCACAGGCACTACAGTACCTTCGTAATGTGTGTAATCACCCGAAGTTGGTACTTAAACCCAGGCATCCAGAGTATGAGCGTATCTCTGCCAAACTCAAGAGCCATAATTCGACACTATCTGATATTTCCCACTCAGCCAAACTGCCAGCACTTAAGTATGGAGTTATATTTGTGTTACTTAAAGTGCTAAGTAATTTTATATCTAAAGATGTCTTAAACTGGTGTAAAAAGCTGTTTTCCATGTATCTGAAAGTATTTTGCTAGTTTGCTATGGTGTATGTTGAAGAATTTTAATATTTACATAGTTGTCATGAAAAATTTCAGCTAACAAAAGCTGGCAGTTTGTAGATGACCTAAAATGTATATTAAAGGGCAGGTTTAAAAGCCTGAAATCTGCCAGAAGCCTGTTCCACCAGCTCTTAAATTACCAAAACATAGATATGCAGTGCAGTATGGGGTTAATTGGAATGAAGAAATTAATTTTTTGAAATGTATTTAAATAAAGTACTTTGAGGAATAGAGAGATAGAAGTAAAAAATAGCATAAAGGAGTAAAAATATGCATACAGAATAAGGTTCTTAAATGGTATTAGTACTGTACATGAAGAAAATGGATGAAAATTAGTTAATGTTAATACACAAATAATCTGCACATAGGGGACTGAAAATTATGACGTTTCGGTCCAACTTGTACCATTAACTAATTAATGGAGTGAGGCAAAAAACAAGAGGATTTGATGGTGATCAAGAGCATAGAGGGGGGATAAGACGTGTAAGACATTTGGTGGTTAAAGCATGGAGTATTATAGGGATACAAAAGTTTTGAAGATTTTTTTATTTGTAATCTTGCTAGGTAGAATTGGTGCAACGGACATGTAAACAGATCACTAGGTGCACTATTTTGTGAGAATTTTTTTTTCATTCCTAAACACTGAGCAGCATCCCTTTTTTTTTTTTAACTCAGGCAGCTGCTGGTGGACTGTGGTATTGGTGTAGATGGTGGGTCAGCAGCAGAAGCAGTTGTCTCCCAGCACAGAGCTCTTATCTTCTGCCAGTTAAAAGCTATGTTGGACATTATTGAGAATGATTTGCTCAAGTAAGTTTGCTCCAGTCTTATATGGATTTTCTGTTTAGGTAAATTAACTGTTATTTTCGTGATTTTATTTTTTTGTGATCATTTAACAAACATTCACACAGTTGACATGGTGGTCTACCCCTCTTACAGACTTCATTCTCTTGCTATATTTTGCCCTTCCTTCATTATAGTATTTGTGCCTTTGTATTTCCTATCTACAGTTTTCTTTAACTTTTTTTTTTTTTTAATGCACCGGCCATATCCCACCAAGGCAGGGTGACCTAAAATGAAAAATGCGAGATTTTTAAAATTTAGTAATTTATACAGGAGAAGGGGTTACTAAGCCCTTGCTTTTCCTTTAGATTTACTTGTTAAAACAAGTATATCATATCTGCATATTTTATTATTTCATATATGGGTGTGAAGCTTGGGTTGTGAATGCTGCAGTGAGGAAGCAGTTGGAGGCAGTGGAGATTCCTGTCTGAGGGCAATGTGTGGTGTAAATATTATGCAGAAAATTCGGAGTGTGAAAATTAGGAGAAGGTGTGGAGTTAATAAAACTATCAGTCAGAGGGCTGAAGAGGGGTTGTTGAGGTGGTTTGGTCATTTAGAGAGAATGGATTGAAGTAGAATTACATGGAGAGCATATAAATCTGTAGGGGAAGGAAGGCGGGGTAGGGGTCGTCCTCGAAAAGGTTGGAGGGAGGGGGTAAAGGAGGTTTTGTGGGCGAGGGGCTTGGACTTCCAGCGAGCATGCGTGAGCGTGTTAGATAGGAGTGAATGGAGACAAATGGTATTTGGGACCTGACGATCTGTTGGAGTGTGAGCAGGGTAATATTTAGTGAAGGGATTCAGGGAAACCAGTTATTTTTATATAGCCAGACTCGAGTCCTGGAAATGGGAAGTACAATGCCTGCACTCTAAAGGAGGGGTTCAGGATATTAGCAGTTTGGAGGGATATGTTGTGTATCTTTATAGGTATATGCTTCTAAACTGTTGTGTTCTGAGCACCTCTGCAAAAACAATAATTATGTGTGAGTGAGGTGAAAGTGTTGAATGATGATGAAAGCATTTTCTTTTTGGGGATTTTCTTTCTTTTTTGGGTCACCCTGCCTTGGTGGGAGACAGCCGACTTGTTGAAAAAAAAAAAAAAAGTTAACTGTTGATTTTTCTAATTCTTTAACCCAATCTGTAGCAAATACTTCAAATGTACTAACTGGATTGATATGCATTTTGGGGCAGTTTTAATAGTTTTATTAATAATGGAAGAATAACATTAACTTCTTAATGTATACTGACTAATGGCTATGAATGTTTAATAAAAAATAAATTTCGTATTTGTATTAGGCATTTGTCACATTTATTAACCTCAATAAGACTTTACTAAGGAAGATATAATTACTATTAATTTTTTTTTTTATTACTTTCAGGGTACATCTTCCAAATGTGACATACTTAAGGCTGGATGGTTCAGTACCTGCTGGCTCAAGACATGCACTTGTCCAAAGGTTTAATGGAGACCCATCTATAGATCTTTTGCTACTTACAACACAAGTTGGTGGTTTGGGACTCAATCTTATTGGTGCTGACACGGTAAGTCGTTAGTCTCCACCATGTAGCTTTATTATATATAGGTCCTTATTGTCATCTAGTAGTGCTTTTACTTAACTATTATAATCTTTTAATTTATTTTTAAAATTACTGCACAGTTGTCCCTACAGATTCACGGGATTGTTTGTTTGCAGATTTTAGTTGCCCATCAGTTAAAATGTTGGATAAGTGGTGAAAAGATTCAATTGAGAAACATTTCTTTCTGGCTGAATGGCTTCCCCCACACCTAAATCTTTTATTCTGATCATTATTTCTTATTCATGTCAGAATTAACCACATTAGTGATATACTGTATTTCAGAAACTATATTACAGCTATATTATTTCTGAAATGCAAAATGAACTTGTATGTGGAAAAAAAAACATGAGGAAAATTTTATGTATCCTCTCCCCCACCCTTGCAAATGTGTAAGGTTAACTATTAGTTTATTTATTGATTTCTCTACTACCACTGAAAGCTGATATGCAGTATATTCTTTATATTTTCTTGATTAAATGGAGTAAGAATTGATTTCTTCCAAAGGGAAAATGTGATAAATATGGGAGTTGCAAAGGGAAAATGTGATAAATATGGGAGTTGCAATGTTGAAGTAAACTTTCCTCCTAAGGAAAAAGAAAATACAAATAATTATGAGGGTCATTGCTTTTGTTGTGTTAAGATTTTTGGCAGTTCTTGATGCTAAGAAGTGCTCAAAGATTTGAAAATATTAGCCACAAAGAATTACTTTAGATCCAAAAGTTACAGAGTTATTAAACTTGGCTAAATTGGATAAAGAAAATAAATATTCGCTGGCAAGACAGTGATAGTGTGAATGATGATGAAAATGTTTTTTTTTGGGGTCACCCTGCCTCTATGGGAGACGGCCAGAGTGTAAAAAAAAAAATTTTTGTTTCTCAGTTTTCTCTGATTTTTAGTTTGGCATTGGAAAATTGGACGAACTTCAGGCATTAAAGTTCTTTTAATTGAAAAATTCATATTGTAATTTTAACCTTCCAGAAAGTTTTCAGGCTTCTCTTTTAAGACTGTTTAGAAGCTATTATTTTGCAAATCCTAGTTATATTTTGCCCTTGCAGGTAATCTTTGTGGAGCATGACTGGAACCCAATGAGAGATCTACAAGCTATGGACCGTGCTCATCGCATTGGCCAAAAGCGTGTAGTCAATGTGTACAGACTCATCACAAGAGGAACACTGGAAGAAAAAATTATGGGGTAGGTACCTTACCTTTGAAGAGTTTTGAGAGTTTAACTATCAGAGCCTGGCCATGGGCCAGGCTCTGAGAGTAGGTGTCCTAAAAAAATAAGTCTTTCTATATTTGAATGTATTGAACTTCATAATGATTGTATGTTCATGAGTTTGGCTATGTGATTGATGTGCTTATCGAATATATTTGTACATTTTCAATAAGCCACATTTAACATTGTGGGTTAGTTTAAAAAAAAAAAAAAAGGGAGCTTGAAAAAGAAAAACGCAAAAGCTTGCAGACAAAAAACATTGGGCTTAAAAATGTACATACATTGTTTTATCCAGCACAGTAGCTAACACTGCAGTGCAAGTACTTGTAATACTTAGCAAATATAGGTCAGAATAATACATACCAAGACTTTTTGGGGAAAAAGTAGTTTATATTTTGAGGACACTTAGCAACTACATTAAGAGTATCTGCTATATACCATACACAGAAGTATGGAATAATACATTGCTTTAAGTTCAGTGGAGCTACTGAACCCATTCACTCTTTTATGCAGATTTACTTTATTCACACCAATGTCACTTGCGTAGATTACATCATAAGCACAGTGCCCTCAGATATTCTGTGATTGGTTGATTTTGGCCTAGACATGAGAAACTGGGTCTGTGGTGGGTGTGCACAATATAAAGAAAATTTTGCCCCTTTCAGTGCATGATGGTATAAGCAAGGCATCTTGACTCATGTGGTTGATTTAAAATAGTGACTGGGGGGGGGGGGGGTTCAAGGGTAATTTATATGATTTTATTGGCTGTTTTTTGGCATCATTTGATAGAATTGAAGATCTCAAAGTGGCAGATACATTAGATTTTTGATGATATTTTCTTAAGGAAGTGTAGGGCCCTTTACCCTATATCTGTAGTAGCAATAGTACTTCTCTCAGCTATGCTTGTAAACTATTTTCCTCAGGATTCACTGGCAACACAGACATTCTCGGTTGATTGAATTTTGCACGGTACAGTACACTAGTCCTAACACAATAGTAATAGATGAAATGTTGGCAACAGCCGACAAGTAGTAATAAAAAATAATTCAAGAAAACAGAAAACCTTAATTACTATAGGTACAGTGTTTTGTTCACATGTGGTGAACTTTTCTCGTATTAATCTTCAGAAAGTTCACTACATGCATATGAAATGTCTACTTGTAACGATTAAGGTTGTTTTCTTGAGTCGCTTATCACAATAGCAATTTTTTTTTTCTCTAACAGCATCAATTATGCAATTTTTTTTTTTTTTTTTTTTTCAACAAACCGGCCGTATCCCACCAAGGCAGGGTGGCCTAAAAAGAAAAACGAAAGTTTCTTATTTTAAATTTAGTAATTATGCAAATCTTTGTTTTAAAACTAAATAAAACTATTAGTAATTTCGGTTTCCACTTTTGCACAAGGCAAATGTTTACTGGAAAAAGATTCATCTTAATGCAGGAAACAGTATAAAAAAAGAGAGCTGTAAATGATTTTTCACTGTGACATGAATTTTATCTTCATATTAAGTTATCCCTGTTTAGTTATACAGTATTTTATCCTCCCAGTTGATTGATTTATCCTGTTATTAGTGATTGCACATTATTCATTTATAATTTTGTGAAAAAATTGTGTTTTCCTCTGGTAATATTTTATTCAAGTAGAAAAGAGTAAATAATTTGTTTATTACATTGTTTACAGGTTACAAAAGTTTAAGATGATGACTGCAAACACAGTCATCAGCCAAGAGAATTCCAGTCTACTCAGCATGGGAACTGATCAGGTGGGCGAAGCAATATATGACATATTAAAACTGTTGGCTGCTAAGCGTACTGAAGCTACTTTCTCTCACTAGTCTCCTCCTTCCTTACTCTTTCACTCTCATTAATACTTTATAACTCTGAAGACAGTACTTTTGAATGCATAGTGTGTAAAATTTAAGAGAATGTAATTAATCAGAATAAAAAATTAGCGTATTGAAGGATGACATGAGAGAGGTCTGTAGTGTGCTTGCTTATATAATGTGTTTAATTTAAAATGTTTTGTAAAGCATGTAATTATTTGTTGCTTAATAATTTATTTAAATACTGCACATAATTGAGAAGAATGTTTTGTAAGATCTAAGTGGCGTGTTGCCAGCAGTAATGAAGAAATAGGCACTTTGCAAAACTAGCTTTCATTGGGGATCAACATTTCGGTCTGTGTTGATCAGTCTTTTATCTTTTGTGCGACTTAATAAGGTTCAGCACAGGTTACAACATTATTACAATGAAAGCCTATTCTGCAAAGTGCCTTTTTCTCCATGTATTCTGTACATTATTAAAAACTTCTAATAAATAAATACTTTACAGTTATTAGACTTGTTCACTCTGGATTGTGGCAAAGTGGATGCTGGTCAGAGCAACAGGGACCCTGGCAGTAGAAGCAGTGCCTCAGCGCAGTCCCTTGGTGTTGGCTCAACAGGAGTCAAAGCTGCGCTGGAGAATTTACCTGATCTTTGGGATCAAGATCAGTATGAGAATGAGTATGATCTTGACTCATTTATAATGTCTCTTAAAAAGTAACTGGAAAATATCTTGTATTTAAACAACATTAATAAATCTAGTGACTGTTAGGAGCAAAAATAATACAAAGCACTCAGCCTTATTTCTTACTAAACTAGTTGTAAATAATAAAATGAAGCACCATATTTGACTTATAGGTACAAATTCTCACCAAGAGAATGCAATGTAGGAAAGTTGATACTGAACTATACCATAGCATGTATCATTTACATGTATTGGTTCCTTTGAAGCAGTAATATTGCTACTGTACTTGCAAAAGAGGAAGTTTTCATTTTAGTAATGTACAGTTTTATCTTAAAATACAGTGTTGCCATGTTTTTTTAATCGTGAAACAAAATTTGTAGAAATTTTTAAAAAATAAAAACTTTAGACAAAGAACAACTTTAGCTGTTTAAGCTGTTTTATCCATATCTGAATTTTAATGAGATATTGGAATGCACGAAGAGTGAAAGCAGCACCTTCAAATGAGAAGTTTAACATTAGCACTAATATCTGTAAGACTTACTAATGTTGCCAGTATTGTTTGCCTATGATATTTCAGTGAGACTGCATGTACTGTACTCGTTAGAAGGTGCCGAGCAACTGTAACTTCATCCTCTTACTTTGTAGAATTAGTCTCCGAAGAGCGTGTGAGTCTTGTACTCTTAGTCATTGTATTTTAGGTTAGGACATTACTTATTGTGAAAGAAAAGTTGAATGGATGCAAATGTGTATATCCTGTTCATATTTAGTCTTGTAATGTTTTATTGTGATAAATTAATTTTTTAAGCCACTGTATGCCCCTGTGTGTTCTATTTATTTAAGAAGTGAACAAATATTTGCTCATATATTTTTTATTTGAGCTATAGTAATGAATAGGTATATATGTTTTTATCCTTTATAAGTATTATAAAACTTCAATATTTTAAGATAAGGTACACATTTAAATTAATTTTTTGTACTTTATTTAAAATAAATGTTGTCACTATCAAGTAATAAAGTTAGGTTTCTATCCAGGAATTTAAAGCAGTTTGGAGCAGGGAAAGTTTTTTTTTTTTTTTTTGTGTGTGTGTGTGTGTGTTTTTTTTTTTTTTTTTTTTTTTTTTTTTTTTTTTTTTTTTTTTTTTTTTTTTTTTTGATAGGATTGTACAATTCCCTCCAGAAGTTGGAAAAACAAATAACTATGTGCATTTTTTTTATAGTTTCTTATAGCAAGAATGCCATTTCCAGTAATATAATTCTGAATGATATTAATGAGCCACTTACGATCACTTTCTTCCACTAGTTACTAAGTTTTAAAAGATACAGACAGCATTGAAGTGCAAATTATTACTATAAGATAAATATTGTGGTGAGTGGTAGAGGAGAGGGTAGGGGCTACACTTTGAACCAAATTTCTTCTACTGAAATCTATTTTCTTTAGTGAATAACTAATTTAGTCTTTATTTATAATCTAAAACTTTCTTCTGGCTAACTACATTACACACATTCTTAGAAAAAAATTTGGTTGTCCTATTCCGGTAAATGTTACTCAAATATTTGTAGAATTAGCAAATAAGTTATTATAATTGAAAGAAGCATTAAACCCACGAGGGTCAGCAAATTAATTCTCTCTGCAAAAGTGCACAAGAAAATTAATATGGTACCAGGAATATATCATACCACCCTTCTTTATTTTTTTTTTTTTTTTTTTTTTTTTGACAAACCGGCCGTATCCCGCCAAGGCAGGGTGCCCCAAAAAGAAAAACGAAAGCAACTCTTTTTAAATTTAGTAATTTATACAGGAGAAGGGGTTACTAGCCCCTTGCTCCTGGCATTTTAGTCGCCTCTTACAACACGCATGGCTTACGGAGGAAGAATTCTGTTCCACTTCGCCATAGAGATGAGAGGAAATAAACAAGAAAAAGAACTAGAAAGAAAATAGAAGAAAACCCAGAGGGGTGTGTATATATATATGCTTTTACATGTATGTGTAGTGTGACCTCAGTGTAAGTAGAAGTAGCAAGACGTACCTGAAATCTTGCATGTTTTTGAGACAGAAAAAAGACCCCAGCAATCCTACCATCATGTAAAATAATTACAGACTTATGTTTTACACTCACTTGGTAGGATGGTAGTACCTCCCTGGGTGGTTGCTGTCTACCAACCTACTACCCATACCCTTCTTTATAGTAGTATTTGTAATATTATCTCCTCAATCTTTTTGATCCTGTAAGAATTATGTACTACAAATTAATGTTACTGTTTTTCATGTGTCCTTTGACCAGCTGAAAAAAGAATTGTTTAACCCTTTGAATGACCATCACATATATTTACATTTTGAGCACAGCTCCATTAGATAAGCTGTGAGTGGTAAATTTGGCCTACATATGAGAAAACGGGTCTGTGCAGTGAGTGTGGACAGTATAAAAAAAAGAAAAATTGCCCCATGCTGTGTATGGGAAAAACAGAACTATGGAACTGATGAGTTCTTTGGTTTCAAACATATGATGTCCAAAAGTGATGCTTAGGGTGCCAGAAATATAGACGAGAGATGATTATCGAATACCTTCTTGTTTGAAGTTTAGCGATTACTTCCAAACAGCACTTCCTGCTTCAGGAAAGATGAAATAGCCTCAGAAGAGATGATATGCCTGTGCACACACAGTAAGGCACCAGACAAAGTGTGCACACACACACAGTTTTGTGTAAAGATGTGTAAAACACCACTGTGTATGGAGAAGTGTTTCAAGGACTTCCACACACTGGTACATAACCAGTGCCTGAATGTATGTACATAAATGTTAGAACAGTAGTAATGTGAAACATTTGTACATGTGTGTTTATTGTGTAGACATGTTTTGTAAACAATGTACTGATGACACTTGTTAGTATGTACAGGTATTGTGTTGCATACAACAGGTGAACATATGTTCATTGGATATATGGTTGTACAAGAATGGTATACAATACCAAGGGCCTCGAAAGTTGCTGGAAAATGTGAAAAATTAGAAAACCCAGAATAAAGTACAAAATAATAAAGTAGAGACATGGAGTATGAGGCAGTCACCAATATTGCCATCAGTAGATCACTGATTTTCAACTTCATGCCTCTATAAACCATACCACAGGTGGTATGGTTTATAGAGAGTCTCAAAACTCTAGACCATTGTGTTAGTTTTGAGAGAGACTGACCGCGGGTTGAATCCCGCCCGTGGTATGGTTTGTTTGCAATCGTGTCATTACAATTTCGTGAGTCATGCCTCTATATCTTGGTAAGTACTGATGGGGAAAATTTTTTTTGTTTCATGACCACCAGAAAAATTAACTTTCTTAATCTATAAGAAAAATACATTTTTTTTTTTTTAATTTGGCCATTGAGAGCAACTTTAACCCTTTCAGTGGCCGTCATGTAGAACTATGTTAGTGAGGCTAGGTTCCCTTACGTAGTTCTACGTCGTGAGCTCGCTCACTCGGATAAGTGCTGAGCTGTAAATTTTGGCCTACATATGAGAGAATGGGTCTGCAATGAGTGTGCACATTATAAAAAAAAATCTGCTTCATGGTGCATAATAGAAAATCAAAATTGTTCCATGTACATGGTTTAAAATAGCGACTTTGGGGTGTTTTCTCGGATAGCTTTTATGGTTTTATTTGTTGTTACTTGGTATTGTTTGAAAGAGAAGAAGACATACTACTGAAATAAGAGATGATTTTCATTGATTTCAGAACAAAAAATAGCTTGAAATTAAGTTCAAAGTAGAAGAGATGTTAGATTTTTGCTGATATTCTTGATGACAGGTAAGATCCCCTTACACCCCCTGTCTGTTTTATTGGTTTTAAATAAGTCTGATTCAATTATTTGAATACTGTAAACCATGGCCAACCATTCCTGGTTATATTGTAACGAAGAAATAGAGAAAATCTACTTTTGTATGATTAAGAGTTCAAAATTGAGGAAAAATGTAATATAGGAGAGGCCTGGGAACATGACTGTTGAACAAAAGAAATGTTTTAGTGCTAGGAATGTCAACATAGTTTATTTTGGATTCTGTTTTTAAATGGGTATCTTTTAATTTTGTGCAAAATTGGCCAAATTATTAACTTCTATGCACTTTATAGGATAGTTGAATGGGCAATTTCTTGTACTCGGTTGATAGAATGGAAGGCATACTAGCAACATAGCAAAGAATTTAGTTGAATGGAGCAGTGGAATTGGCTTAAAATAGGACTTGTGTGGTGAAATCGCCAATCTGTAAATTACACCGACACCACTAACTTGGCTCTTTCTCCATCTTTGATTTACATGTCTACTTACTGCCTATTTTTTTTATCATTGCACTTAATAAGACTTATCAGGCCCCAAAATTGAAAAAGGTAAAATTATTTTCTTAATGTAATATTATAATTTGTTTTGCTGTGCTGTTTATTGGATTGTCTTTAACATTTTTAATTGTTTTACTCACAAATTATTTAAGGTTGACTCCTGCCCCATGACAGTGTGAACTCAGTGTTTATGATTTCACATGCACTTCAAAAATAACTCTTGCCTCCACCACTCGTACACTCATGTTAGATACAGTTCTCAGGACACTGAATGATACGGTTAAAATGTTTTCTTACATAGTCTATAGCCTCTTGCATCACAAGAAATAACAAGCATAGGAAGCATAACTAACATAATTTTTTTTTAACACGCTGAGCATTTTTCTCCAAGTTAGGGTAGCCCAAGAAAGGAAAACATTCACTGTCATTCATTCAGTTGGTGTCTTGCCAAAGGTGAAGAACAAAAAGGCACAATACTGTGACGGAACAACACACAAATACGTAGCCCGTACATAGGAGAAACTTATGACGACATTTACAGTCCAAGTTGGACCGAAATATCATTGCAAGTTTCTCGTGTAGGTAATTTGTGTATTGCCAGAAGTATGCTGACATCACAGTTGAGATGTTCCTCCTAGCTGCCTTGTACAGCACAGCTTTCTCATCAATTGACTACCAATACTTTCTCTTAATGGGTAGGGGGAGGGGTGCCTTGATGCAGGATGGCTCTTGATCAGAGAAACTGGAGCCATGCCTGCCTTGGATTGAGCCTGATTACCTCCTGTTTCCCAGGTGCTGTATGGTCTCTGTGGGTTTGGTACTGTCATAATTATAATATTGCATGTTGCAGTACCATTATTTTTATTGTAGTTATTATTACAGTATTCATGGGGAAATGCTAATCCTGTAGTGATCTTACAGCACCCACAGAATGGGAAGGTAATCAGGTTTCATGCAAGAAAGAGTGACACCAATTCCTTGGATGAAAGCAATCCCTTAAAGAAAAAGTATCCACAGTAGCTAGATGAGAAATCCCTGCTACATATTTGATGGTCCTCTTCATTTATTTTGATAATAAATATCTTTGTACTTCCAATAATTTGTCATTTCTTAGAAGTTACATAGTTTGCATGTGCAGCATAGGAACATAAAATATTGTTCTTACTGAGCTCTGTATTTAAGCAGTGCATGACTATCATTGGAACAAAGTAATATTAATTAGAATTTTAATTAAAAAGTTGTTATTTGTAGTGAAAGCAAGTAAAGACTGAATGACAAACTTAGTAGGAAGGTTATTATTATTATTATTATTGCTTTTTTAACTTAATGGCTGTCTCCTGCCAAGGCAGGGTGACCCTGAGAAGAAAACAGTCATCATCATTCATTTACAAAAGAAAAAAAAAGCTAAATCCACATGGATCGCAAAGCACAAGGCAGGAGGAAATTGATGGCAGGGGGAAAAAATGGAGTATAATAGAACTAAATAGGAATGTCAAATTTGGCATAAGTCTGTTAATAAATCAGTCTGCAGGTGTGGAAGAGATGAGGACCAAAAGTAGATCTGGAGTTGGGTAAGGTTTTTGGAATATACAAATAGCCACATTAAAGAGATATGTAAAAATATGCTTGGAATGCTTATTACCGGAGACTAGCTCTGTATGACCCTTGTAGGTTTAGCACTTGGTTATGATTATAATAATTACAGGAGACTATAAGTGATGTGTTATAGCAG